TCTGCATGGGGTGATGTTAATTCAGTATTAGGTTTTGCCCTTCAAAAACGCAAACGATATAACACACGTGAACAATAACGCTCTCATTAATACTGTTGGCGGAATGATATTTTGCACGCGTATGGCATTGTGGAATATTGTAAGCAACTCATTATGTTATCCAAATAAAGTTGTTTACCCCTCCTTTTTCACAAAGAAGACTCAAAACAGGAAACAGAACAGGCGATCTTTGCGAACAACAAAATCAAACAAGATTTCCTTTTGTTTGTGTACAAACATACGGCTGTTTCGGTAATTTGTTATTGTATGTTAATGTCATGTAGGCCTAAGACTGATAGGAGAACATGTGCGGTAGAGTGATCAGGACCAATACAGTTCTGTAGATATTGGCCTTCAAAATATGCACTTTTAATATGCCGTCACATGTCACGTGACGTCATCGTGACGTCACTTCAATTTTCATCTATAAACACATCCCGGTCTAGGTACATATCAACTTTCAACTCAATCGGACATGTTGTTCTGTATATATGGGCCTGAATAACTTACTTTTAATGTATGTCACATGTCACGTGATGACGTCATCGTGACGACACATGAATTTTTTTATCTATAACACATCCTGTTTTAGGTACATATCAAGTTTAACAGACAACACAAAATAGATCTCGGTACGGGAGATGGTCAAATATGGATTGCACGTGCACTATGCCTATATACAATGGACATCTTGAAGTTGAGTTGCATGAATTATCCGTCCGTGGGTTTTTGTATGTCTTCGAGTGCAAGATTCTGATCGCTGGCGTTCGTATTCCTTGGGAAACACTTCAACCTGTGTTTGAAGGAGTGTTTCAATACTTTGATGGTTGGGTCTAGTTCAAACACAGAATCAATGAAGCCTGATGAAAAGAAGGGGAAAAAACCTGTCACGCTGACCAAAAAAAATTCATAAGGCGTCTTCAATTACAACTGCATAAAACGTCTAAAGATAGAAGGTTTTGCTTGTCATGATGTCTTTTGATAAGCTTCAACTCAGGTATCCTGCCAACATTGTCAGTCAAAGAAAAAAGACACACTGGATTGAGCGATAACATTAAATTCGCACCTTTTTGCTCCAGGGCGCGTAGCCTTGTTATTTCTTCTTCGAGCACCGCTAACAGCGCCGGGACACTTCCCGAAAGGGACTAGTGAAGTATAGCGCTCAAAACGTCAATATCTCTCCAAAAGCTTACATCTTGTGAAGGCATCTTTGCTGATTATTCCGAGTTTTGTTTTTTACCACGTATGAGGGTCGTTCCCCTCCCATCCCAATACAGCTTTTTTTTCAATGTACATGATTCTACTCAATGTAAATATTCTATCCTTTCGGGTTGTTCGATCAGACCAACACTTCTTATCCTTTGAAGACATTCACACTAATGCAGCACATTGACTCCTGTTCTTACATTTTTACAATAACAACACTCACCCTCGCGTTTTGGGTAAATGTATCAGCAACCAATTTGAAGGTTTTGGAGGGGCCGGATCGATGCGTGTTTTATTAAGACGGTATCCGGTGTATGGGCTCGGGAGGAAGGAAGTACGGAGGCAGGGAAATCAAGGTAATGGCGATCGACTATAGGATGACAGATCGATAACTTACAAAGCCAGAAATCACCGGTCGGAGAAGAAACAAGAAATCGACTGAAGCGTGGTCGGTCCTGTTCACGGTTTCCGTCCCTGGGTTCGGTGTCCATGGCTTTTGTTGTGTGATGTCTATTCGATACTGCGGAGGCGCGCAGAGCCATAGGCGGAAATGGTAGGTGCAAATTGAGGGGGTGGGCTCAGCTATAGGGCGAAAGAACTCGACCCTTCTTTCGGGACCTGCCGTTTTCATAGGTCACTCATTCATCAAGATGTCATTGGCGCGGCTGATTTGGCCACACATCGTTAATCACATTACTTTCAACACAAACTCAAATCCTAAAGCACGTCAAAATGTCAATACATCCGATAATTCTTTGCTGATAAATGATTGAAATAAATAAATTAAAGCGAACAGAAAAAAACCCTTTCAATCTATCTCTACTTTGAAAAAAAATACCCGTCTTTTTTATTTCTTCAAAATTTCAACAATTTTTTTTTGGTGTACGGTGATAAACATATACATAAGTTTCTGTAAATTGAATGATTGAAAATATAATTATACTATTTTTAAATTATTTTCCTAAGTGTACTGTGACTTGGCCTAGTTCCCTATGGGCTCACATGCAATAAGCACCTGGCTTGTGTTTACACAATACAGAATCAGCGAGCCCCAGGCTATAACACAGAACAAATAATTTAGTAACAATTTGGGCAAAATCATCCTGGAATTTGTAATGCGAAAGTCCCGTTACTAGTCCCATTGTTGTCAATCAAAGAGCCGACGGTTTGCGTAGGTAAAGGTTCGATGCCCCGAAGTAACCCGTCCAGTTGTGATTTCACTTCTTCTCTTTTTTCCAGAATTGATGTGATTCGTTTCGCCCTTGGCGTTTTATTACAGGTCTGATTGGAGTGGTCTATTATGACGTGTTACTTTTATAACCGAGATAATTATGCTGTCAGCGATTTTTTTTTCTCTCTTGGAAAAAAATAATAATGATTTTTGACAACCTTATACAAGCGCTACCAGTTGGTCACAATTACTTTGGGATATGAATGTGTAGTCAATGTCAGTTTAAGGTAATAATACAGCTTTTGCTGTAATTTTCAGACATGGATGGATTTGGGGGTTAGTATTTCATAACAAATATTATTACACTGACCTGTTGAATGGATGCTGGAAAAACCAAGAAAGAAATGCTGTTCTTGCAGTCTGGTTCCCCGGCCCTACTTCAAGCGAATCAGATCAATTTATACCCCTTCACGGATGCGTAACCGATTGCAAACAAAATGAGGTCTAAAGATAAATTGGATGAACCGGGGTAGTATTTGGAAATAGTCAGTGTTTTGGGCCGATTTTTCTTTGGAAATTGATACAAAAATGTCACTGTTTTTCTTGAAAATGACAGAATACCGGCTGCCATAATTTCACAGGATGCTTGAGACTATTATTCACTTACAGTCAAGTAAGGTATTTCATAATAATTGGTATTATAATTTTACTAACAAACACAATAAGTCGACACTTTCAAAGACTTGTGCACAAAAAAATACCCCAGCCCTAGCCCTAGCCCTAACCCTACTAACCTCAACCCTAACCCGATCCCTGGCCCTAGCCCTCGTCAAAATGACGGTTTAAAGAATAGGGCGACAGAAAGACTGTCGCCCTATTGAGTTGTGTCGCCCTATTAGGTAGCAATAATAACCCCCAAAAATGTCGTCCCAACCTAGAAAATGTCAATATAAAGTTTAAATTGTTGTTTTAATAATTGCAGATGTTGTACATTATTATACCTTTAGCATAAATTGCTCCTAAAGATTCGCAAAATCCTGCGATAAAAAAACCCAGCATAACTGACGAAGCCCGCCCTGTCAAGGAAATTATGCTGGTCTATACAAAAAAAAAAATCTCGAAAAAGTATAAAAATGCAGGACCCCGAACTATCGAGAAAAAAACCTGAAAATTTGGTTCACAAATACGTTTTCCTCGATGCCCCCATTTTATATGTATATCGATTGACATTTCTGTGGGTAAAATTTGTACATTGCAGGGATCTGTTTCAGGAAGTGTCCAATCAATGTTAAGAGAACCCGAAGCACTCTGTTTGTGACTGATCTGAGTAGCTGTCAAACGGGAAAGGTGTTGCTTTAAACCTCATTCGTGATTCTTACGAGAATAACAATTTTGAGTGATGTCGCAAGTCCAAATGCTTTCCTGCAAATCGCAGACCATAGTACAGTGTCTTGTAAAAGTCAATCCATAGGAGTTTTTGATGTTTTGTCGTAGTTATCCCCCCCCCCCAAAAAAAAAAAACCCATGATATGAAAGGTAGAGTAAAGGAATAGATATATAAAATTGTAGAAGTTGATTTTCCAGACATTTTTTGCGGATCAACTTGAATGTGCGCACGTGGAAAAAATTATCAAAATTATGCCAAATGTCAAAAATAATTGCCCCTGTGTCAGAGTCAAATGTCATGAGAAAGTGTCGAGGATTGCTGTAGATCTGTTCTTGTTGCATGGGTCTAGGGTTCGATTCCCCGGCCGAGCTGTTTAGTTCTGCCGTTGTTAGTTCCATGTGCGGTTCTTATTTTTATGGCTATAACTACGTCAATCGCAGAGTGAACACACTCCCGTGATTTAGGCTAATAGACTTTATTCACGAGTCGGCCATATTGAATTGAAAGCGAGGTAAACTCTTCATTTTTTAATCTTACGAGTAGAATTGAAAGTGATGAAATAAATGTTCATTCCAAATAATACCAGTCTGCTCAGATAAGTAATTTCAAATTTGGTATTAAGCATACCCTAATGTTTTAAGCCACATTTAAAGAGAAACAAAATGAAAGTGAGGGTTGGAACTTTACGAACTCCAATTATAAAATAGTCTGGCACCATCCCAATCAACAGTTTACAATTTGTAAAATAGATTCAGGGAACAAGATCTAAAATGGCTTCCTCGTGAAAAAGGGCTCGACTATGCCAAATTGTTACAATTCCAGGCATTAATACGATATAATGGTTAAAAACTGTCCATCTAGCTTTGTTTTCTTACTGGATGCTGACTCTAGTTAGTTAAAATCTCGCAGGGATCTTGGCACATTGATTGAACATTTGACCAAATATCGTGCGAATGGAATTTTTTGGCCGAAACTTGTTTTCCATATTTTGAAAGCAGTATCATATAACATCACAGGTAATCTCCAGTAATATCGCAATCATCTGTCCTTTGTTCATCCCGGTTTTATATAAGTGACCCCACCTTTGAACGACTTGTGCTTTGACTTGATTGACTCATTTCCAGGTCATGCACCTGTTTCATCGAGTATCAACCTTTGATTCGGCCTTTTTTTGTTCTTTTTTGTCTTTGTTTACAGAAGGTGTAAAAGCTGTCGACTGGGAAGAGGAAGACAAAAGGCAATACCCAGCAGGCGCCCCCATCGGGCTAGATGGCAAGCGGCAATGGTACACCGGCAAACGACAATGGTACACGGGCAAACGGGACGCGAGCGATCTACACGACGCCGCGGCGTTATTAGCAGACAGCGGGGACGAGGTTAAACGACAGTTTTACACTGGCAAACGCCAGTGGTACACCGGCAAACGCAGCGGGGAAGGGGAACCAGCGACGGACGACGAGATCAAGAGACAGTGGTACTCCGGCAAAAGGCAGTGGTACACGGGCAAGCGGGACGATAGCGAAGACGAGAAGCGCCAGTGGTATACCGGTAAACGGCAGTGGTACACCGGCAAGCGCTCCGGGGAATTCGCGCCAGAAATCGACGCTGCTGACGAAGCCAAGCGACAGTGGTACTCGGGCAAACGCCAGTGGTACACCGGTAAACGAGAGGACAACGACGACCAGAAACGTCAATGGTATACCGGCAAAAGGCAATGGTATTCCGGTAGACGTTAGTGACACTCGTTGTACACCATGAAATCTCAACACGGACATATAGCGGAGTCTTAAAAGAAATACACTGGTCCCAAAGTTTAAAACATACAACAGTCTGTCTTAATGAGTTCAAAACAGTTTTTGAGATATCAAGCATAAAGATGCTTGTGTTTTTGTACACCTGAAAAAAATACGTGTGCTTAAAGTAATGGGTTTTTGTTGTCGTTGTTGACTGTAGGATTTGGTAAACATGTTGACAAAAAAATAACAATGTTTGTAGAATTCTTGCCAAGAACAAAATGCCATTGACTCCTAAAAATAAAATGTGCAACATCGTAGTTGTGAAAAACTAAGTTCAGGCTACAAATGAAATGGGGGAAAACAAGATACACTTATGACGTATAATTTGTTATTTGTGAAAGTAATTAATGAATAAAATGTTGATTTTTAAAGACAATACAGATATATGATTGAAAAATTGCACAGACACTTTGTGCCAAAACTGCCGGCAACGCTTAAATATACGAAAACGTAACTTTTAACACTGATGTTTTGCTGCGAACGAATAGCACTTTTTAAGTTTAGAAACATTAGATTACAGTTCAATCTCACTGAAATGTCTCATAAGAAATAGTGAGTCGAAACTTATGTAAATTATTAGTATTTTAATTAAGAGGAATTCAAGATCATGAGCTGAGAGGGGACACTGGTAATAATTGCCAAACATCCTCCTGTTTTGTTGTGTTAGGCCTGTACATTGGGAGTCAGGTTCGACGCAGTGGTTACTGTCCTCGCCTTCTGCCGCTGTGGCCCGGGTTCGATTCCTGCCCTAGACCACATGCGGATTGGGTTTTCAGTCCCTGCCTGATTCCGTGAGTTTTCCGCAGAATATTATTCTGGGATTTTCCTCCCACCTCTAAAAACTGCAATTTCTTCGCATTGTCTCCTCTCTATACTTCTTCAGGCTTTCGAGCTACAGTGCCTAGGGCACTTTTGAGGAATCCTTGATTTTATTACCAGAAATAAACGAATAAATAAATAATTGTTTCAGTGTCAGGGGTCCACTGATCTCATTAGAAAAGCAGCCGGAATAATTGAATTGAATTACTTGTAAAATTGAATTGAATAATGTATTAATTTGTCTTGTGTTACACAAACAGTTTTCAGGAGAAATAAACAAGAAAAACTGTTTGAAGGAATGAATCTGATCATTTTTGATCCGATCCCAAAATTGATCTGAAATTTGGCGGTGTCTGTAATAACGTAGCAGTTTCAATTGCAAGGTGCGGCGTTACTACATGAGGGTGTTCACTTGGTTCAGAAATTGCGAGATCTAACTTAAATGGGACCGAGTTTTTTGTACCAGGTTCTTAATTGAGTAACCCTAACTTCCGGGAAGATTTGGGGTTTTCGCAAGCGTCTTTTGGAAGAGTTGCCATGGTCTGACAACTTTCGGTAACGCCGTACCTTTCAGCAACGTTGCTTTCAGTACAAACAATTTCGCTTGGTTTATACGTTTATGAGGGAAAATAGCGACTACTGCTCTTATTTTTTTTCTAAGCACAAGAGTTAGAACTGTGCAATAAACTATAACCCACGGACAAAGTAAAAATGTAAATAATTTGTAGGTAGTCCTATAAACAATAATTGCGAGGTGGCAAAAATTTACTCAAAGAACGACAGTGTATTAAAGTGGACCAGCTTTTTTTCGTAGAAATCGAGTCATAAATGGAATATTTTAATGTTAACATAGATTTTAAGTTAAACAAATTTAAGCTTTTTGGTCATTAAGCCTGAATTATTCGTTTTTCGTCGGAATCAGGAAAAAATGTATATTTTCTTTATCGTAGATATTCGTTGTCAAATTTCCCCCCATAAATCAATAATGAATGTACATGTATTTTAGTTTTAAAATAATGTATTACTATTGCCCAAATTAAAACTCTTTTTTGGCTCGAGTTAAACGCTATTATGCTGAAAGTATATATTTTACAACAAACTGTTTATCGACGATGACAATACATTGCTTTGTATGCATGTAAAAAAAGCGAACATTGAATAGGTTTAGCGTAACATACTTCAGCAGTGTAAAGTGATATTTTTTGTTGGTAAGCAAATAATAAAATAAATGAAGCAAAAACAAAATGCTTACTGACGTATAGCTGTAGTATTTGGTGTTGGTGGCAGAGATTAATTCAGCCTCACTGGCCCATAGCAGGGGCGGATCTAGAGTTCAGACGGTAGGGGCGACCTTTCAGCCATGGCGTATAATATCAAACATGCAGAAGTCAGTATTCATGATAAATTCAAATTACACAGCTGTTTAAGGCGGGCTAGTCGAGATAAATGTGGGGAGGGCATTCAGCCGGAGTCAAATTTGTGGAGTTGTTAAGCACATACATTTGCTGCACAGGAAGTATTTGCTAAGCGAAGACAGGTTACAAAATCAGCCTTAATGTCGTTCAATTATCGCCAGTGATTGGCTTCCGACATCACTCTAAAAGTCCCGGGCCAGATAATTTGACCCAGAATCCGGGTCCCATGGTGCCTGATCCTTTTTTCCGGGTCAAAAACGATACTTTTCCGGGTCAAACTGACCCGGATATTCAGAGTCAAAGAAGTGTAAATTTGACCCGAAAAAGTGTAATTTTGACCTGGAAAAGAGTCAGGCACCATAGGACCCTGATTCCAGGTCAAATCTGACTTTAATATGACTTTATAAGTGACTTTATAAGCGAACCATTATCATCTGATAAAGCCACCCCATGAATTTATCACCCATTCCGATCTGCACGTTTTTTGAAGTTCCACGCGACATTGCATTCTTCCCGTTATCATGCTAATTACCCTCGCCTGCAGGCAACAATAGCAATATCATTCTCCATTAACATTAACTGTTGAAGGGTTTTTAATCAAAAGGTCCCCCCCCCCCCATTTTGTGGACAACTGTTAGCTCATATCCCTGTTATAAAAATGACAATTGTAAATGTACGTGAGCTTTGATTTATCAAACGTACAGAAAATTAATTTAAAGTGGGAAACAGTGGAATTTAAAAGTGTTCTTTTTGTTTGTGAAATAGAGTGTAAAGAAAGGGATCTCAAAGAAATATATAAATAAAGTGTCTTTAATTTTGTCCAAGTCGGCAACTCTTTATTCTTCGATATTTTTCTTACTTTCCCTTCTTTGTCTGTCTTTGTTTATCCTCCATTGCTCTTCCTTCATTTTAATTTCTCTTGTTCCCTCTATTCATCGTTCATTGTCTCTTGGCGCGATGCATGAAAGGAAGATTAGGCCCTAACTATGTACTGGTACAGTGGCAAAAAGGAAATGACCTAGATTTATGGGTGTTTTTTCTTAAAAAGCAATCATACACCAATATGTCGTAAAAGAACATGTTCTTCCAATCATCTGAAAAAAATACCAAAATGAATCCATGCTATCAAAAGTTATGCATGTTTTACTAAAAGAACCTATTTTTTTTAGCTGTCCATGTAATGTCATAGACCTTTATCATGCTTCCACCATTTTAGTCGTGTTCCCTGTATCCAATAACAATACTGAATGTTAACGTTTTTGTGCAAAAAGGAACCAGACTATTTTTCCTTCCAACCTCGCTTTGGTTACATTGATCTGAATGGGAAACAATCAAATGGCTGCAACATGATAACGGTGTATTGGAAGCTAGTGATCTGAGTGAGAAATACATATTACACACAGGCATTCAAATGTAAATGAGATTTCAATCATTTCATTCATTTTGTGTTTGGAATATGGGGAACAAGTCAATGTTTTTCTGAAATACTGATGGCTATTTTTGTCTGTTTTCCTTTGCAAGTTTTCGTTCATGGGAACACGTCCATGTTTTATTGTATTTAATGGGTATTCATCAGCTCGTAGAAGGGCACACGATCAGTGGTAGACAGCTGAATTTTGCGATCTTTTTATTACAATACATAACTTGGGAATAGAGTATGCATATTACGTGAAACTTTCACAGTCATTAACATGTACTTATCCCTACGTGATTTTTATGATTATGGAGAGAGCCACATATTTTTTTTCCAGAAATATTGGGTTTTTTATTTGGTCACTTTCTTTTTGACTCGCCTGTATTGTTTCAAAGGTGCAGTTATGGAAAGAGATGGAAAGTCCTGCATTTGTACCTTTTCTCGGTTTTTGTGGTTTTTTTTAAAGAAATCGATGATCAATTTTTGTTAAATGATTGTTGAACTACAAATGTTTGTTTGTGTTCAAACCTTACAACGGTTATTCTGGCAGTTACCTGTACCGGTCCCCTTTGCAATTCTTTCATCACATTTTTTCTTTTTCCCTTGATGTTTGCCAGAACATGTCTGTTCCCCACTCTATCTTTGCTCTCTCTGTTTTTTTTTTCATCAAGCTCTCTTTCATAGTTGTCTTCAAATTTTTGCAGAGAATATATCCAAAATGTCCCTTTTAAATTAATGCCATTATTATATGTCACACTGTATGTGTTTTACGTTATATCTGGTCCTGTATTTGAACACTTTGAGCAAATGTTTTGATTGGCGTGGGATGAAATGTTACCATTGGAGAAAAAAAAACTTTTAAAAGCCGAGTTCTGATTTTACGACCTATAAGTTAAAATGCTTTGCCTTAAAAAAATGTACAAATTAATTGCAGCTGTGTAAACCTTAGAAACTGTTGAAGAAACAAAAACCTTTTCACCCGAGTTTGAAATTTTTGGACTCCTACCGAAGGGTTTTTATGTTTGTCGTTAAATAAGTGGATCATTAGATAATTATATTGATTTAAAAGAATGTCAAGTTGTGCACGTGCAGAAATCGTAATTAAAAAACGACGAAACAACGCGGTTTGCAAACATTCCTTGTCGCTTGTTTCGCTGTTTCTGTTCCCTTTTAAAGTCTGTTTTGAACGGGGATAGTACAGTGTAATGATAATAATAATGCTTAGTGTCATGACCGTTTTAGGGGTCATTTTGATCAATATCTAAAATATATTGATGTACCCCCTAACGTGTCTCTATAGTGGAACACTTTCTCCTTCAGCGCCTTGCCAAACAATAGTTTACCCCCGCTGTTTAATACGAAAAGATATTCTGGCAAGTTCAAAATGTCCCTCCTTTTTCTTTTGTTTTTATAGTTTTTTTCTGACCCCATACCCTTTTGAGGGGAGGGGGGGGGGACACCTACCAGTAGCATCTCGAGAAATAACAATTTCAAATAGCTTTTCCGTAGGAAGGGGACCCCCCTGCTACGCAGGCCCATTGACCCTTTTACCTGTATGACCGCCACATCCATGGAAAAGAAAGAAGGGGGGGGGGAGAAAGAAAAAGAAAATGAATGAAATAAGAAGACAAGAGGGCCGATGCCAATATTAAACTGTTAATTTAATGTACACTTAATGACATGAATGTCGGTGGAGGGGGGGGGGGGGTTCTAAGGAGAAGGTGGGCAAATGTCAACCCCCCCCCAAAAAAAAAACAAGGCCCATGGCCACACCAGAAATATGCAGTAACTTGGGTGTGCTTTTCTGTGCATTGTGAGATAGTTTACACTGCCTACAATCCCCATTCGTGGCGCAATATTCCCCAGAAACAACGCAACATTATACCTTCAACACACACACTTCCTATAATATACCTATCCGCAAAAAGGCTGTAATAATAGTGATTCAGCTAATGTCCTTTATTATGACTAGCGGGATGCCGCGCTTCGCGCGGCACCCGCTAGATGGGTGGAGTTGACTGTTTCGTAATAATTACTTCATACAGTGAAATCTCGATAATTTAAACTCCAATAACTCCAAACAACTGTTAAGTCAAATAAAGAATCAGACGCTCTGCTGCACGCAAGCCTATTTGGACTCGCCATCAGTCTCACCTAAGTTGTATTTGCGTTTAGCAACGTGCGCGCACATAACGTTTCCTGCGGAGATTGTGCGAGGGTCCAGGACATATTGTTAATATAGGGGAAGGGGCTAGCTAGGGTGAAGGGTGCTAGTCGGAACGCCCAATTTCCGTACAACCCGTCAACCATGTCACAAATATTTCCGGGGATGGGGAGAAATATTTGCAGGGACGGGGAGAAATGGTTTTTGTTATAGAGGGGAGATGGTGATATTGAAATCGCTGATATTGTGGAGGTTTATGTTTATGCTGGGATTCATACCGTTTAAATGTTTTTTTAAATTGCGCACCGATTAGGAAGGTCTTGCTGTCAACAGTTGAATGAAATTAAGTATTTAATGCCGACCGATTGTCTCATGCGATGTCTCATTACATGTATATAAAGCTCATAAGTAATGTTGTGCTGGAATATTGTCCAGTCAAATTGAACATTGATTTTTCAAGGTGCCAAACCATAAAGGACGTATACACCAACTGTACAATTACGTAATTTAGATGAAACGCGGTTTGATCTTGGCCTATACAACGTCGTATCCATCGTTCTCACTACAGAGGAGAGGAGGGGGAAGCTAGTGGGGGTGGGGGTTGGATATTGTGTGGCCTATTTACATGGGCGTCGCCATAATTTGTTTTCTAGAGGGGGCAAAACATATTTTTGCAAAAAAAATGCCTGTTTTTCTCAACACATTCTCCATTTATCAGTTTTAGAGGGGGGCAGGGACATTTTGCCCCCCAACTCATTAAATTTAAAATTAAACTCATTTTTCCCCTTCCCCCCCCCCTTTTTTTTTTTGCTTTTCCAGGGGGGGGGGGGGAAGTGCCCCCCCCCCCTTGCGACGCCCATGCCTACTTATGTTACACCTGTGAATGGTCACTTATATTTCCGGGGAAGTGGGCAACAATTTATATTCGTTATGGTGAAGGGGGTGTGTCTTATGTATTAAGTAGTAGTTAATGTCATTATAGCAGTTGGTGTTTTTATTATGGTGATGGGGTTGTAGAGCAAAGTATTGTAACGCGTTTATTTGCAGAAGAGAGTAAAACTATAAGAAAGGACATATTGGAGCACTTCATAATTATGTCAAGCACCACATGTTAAATGTATTTATTACAAAACTGTGACAATGAAATCAGGTACAATGCACACACGAATTTTTTAGTAATAATGTATTTGCATTCATTACAGGGTAGTACTTCGACAAAACTCAGTGGATATAATTGTAGAAAATTTTCGGAGCGATTTTCGCAAGGGACGTCGGTCCAGGCTTGTTTAGCATAGGCAAAAACATTCCATGAAAGACTTTCAAGCAAGACGGGTAATCATTCCATAATTATTCTTGGGTACAACTAAGCCAAGGATATAACTTTAAAAAAGGATGGACATAAAACAGCAGAAAAGAGTGATTATTTTTGCACTATTTCATTTTCATGACTTCTAAATAATAAAATTATGGCTAGAAGAAAAATGTGTTTTGAATGGGTAAAGAGAAAAAGCAGGAATCTTGCAGTTGAACTGGAAAGAATAGGTGTGTCACGTCTTCGTCTTGAGTCGAGATTCTTGCTTTGGGAACTGGTTGAAGCATGCACTGGAGCATGCTTGGAGCATGGTTGGAGCTGGTCATGTGATGTGGGTGTCATCGGGAGTCCTGTCAAAAAGGAGTAACAAAGAAAACTTGTAAAAAAAAATACATCGGCTAACAATAGCTACAAATAAATTGTTCCTGCACGGTTTGTGCTTACGATTCTGCGCGCCGTGCGTGCTCACAGCACATCGCGCAGTAATCGCCATCTTTATTTTCGGGTTGCGTGTTTTGGAAAAAATTCCATACTCGGACGTCACTTTTTTCAATTAATTTTCTAGCGCCAAAAGTTACATCTTTTATGGTTATTCTTCCACTTTCCCTCCTCTACTCTCACCCTCTCCTTTCCTTAATTTCTATTTATTAATCAGTCAGTTACTTCATCGGGATTCGAACCTCTGACGCTTGCTTGATACACGAGACTCTTAACCGCTAGGCCGCGCACGATCGCTGTTGCAATCATCAATCTTTGGACGTATTTGAAGTATCCATTGAAATAAACTAAATATTCATGAGAAAATAAATATTCATAATGACGTATTGCACTATCATTGGCAGGCTCATGCGACGTCATGGTTGTTGATGTCACGTGTATAACGTACCGCTGTCTTTTCAGCCACTACAATCAGTTTTGACCGGCTGCTTCAAGTTAGTTCTGCACGACGTATGCATCCAAAATGTGCTCTAAAAACACATTTTGAGTAAATTTTTTTCACCTTTACACAGCTTCCTGGATTTCTTTTGGTTCAAATGACAAGGTGAGGTGACAATAAATATGTTTGGCAGCAGATAAATTGACATCCGAGTATGGAACTTTTCCCCTATAATGTGTCATAGCACAAATCGGACTTACCATTGAAAGAGAACATTGGAGCATAATCAATGCATCCACGACCATCAAACGAAGCTAGTAGTGCTGAGGAAATGTGGGGCAAGCATGCCTTCAGCTTTGCATGTTGCATGGAATACCGTTGCATGCGCTGCAGCGCATGCTCCTCTATATGAACGTATACGTATACGTGGCACGACAGGTGTAGCGTGAATATCCGACTCCATGAAACGTGGACTCATTGGTAGTACTGCGCACGCGTGAGTACGATACTGCGCTATTTTTAGGATCATTTCGGGAGAGTGACCTGTCACGTGCGAGGGATAGGGGTCCGATTTTCATAGGAGTCGAATTTTCATGTGACACCGGCCCATACGCAAGATGGCCGGCGCGGCCCAATGGGGAAAGGAATTATGGGAAAATGGGGTGGAAATAGCCGGGCCCCGTTCCGCATCCCCCGATGCCAACAGGCGCGATGGGGACAGGAGACCGGTCGGAAAAATGGCAGCGCCCCCGAATCATTTTCGTGATTGTAGTATAGATGATGACGTGCAGTATACAAGAGGGCCGGCTAAGGAGGGGCGTTATAGGTGGATTCAGAAATCAGACGGAGGGGCAGACAAACTTTTAAAGAAGTCCATCCATGTATCATGCATAATGCACAGTTATATTCGTGAGTCGGGATTCTGGATCACACTTTATATCACATGTAAGGGAGGGTAGGTGGCTAAGAGGGGTCAGCGGCGGCAGAACGCTTTTCAAACTGGGGGCATCACCAAAAAGGGGCACTTGCTCAGAAAAAAGGCACCTTCCGTCGGTGTGAAAGAGGAGACAATTGTGAAATTATTTTCATTCACATTGCAAGGAATACACGTTGCCCGGAACAAAATTTACTATCAACATTAATATATAGGCCCTACACTTTTAAAAAATGTTTGCGTTAAAATTTTTAATTTTTTCTTTAATTCGCTTACTCAGCCTTCGGCCTCCGGCACACCCAGACAGTAACCTCTCTGGGTCCGCCCTTGATCTTGAATTTGACTAGTTAGGCGTATATTCAAAGGGACCTTTTTTATCGTGAGAGGGCATTGTTGCTTTGATGGCCAGTTTAGTGACCATTTTATTCGCGTAAGGAGCACTATTTTTTTTTTTACAGGCCAGTTTTCCATCTTGAGAGGGGCACAGTTTTAATGTTGCGAGCGGGGCACTAATTATTGTGCTTTCGAGGGGGCAGTTTTCCATCTCGATAAGTTATTGCGAGAGGAGCACTATTTTTGATGGCCAATTTCCCATCTCGAGAGGGGCATAATTGTATTATTGCGAGAGGGGTGGTTGTGCTTCGGGGGAAAGTTTTCCATCTTGAGAAGGTTCACAATCTTGTTAATGCGCGAGGTGTATTTGTGTTTTTGAGGGGCACTTTTGCACTAGAGAGGAGACAAATTTTCAAGCGCGATCATAATGCTTTCATGTGTGCGTTTGAGGGGCAGTATTGTTTTCATATCGAAGGGGCACATTATGACCGCGACAGGGGCGGGCGCTTTTGTTGGCCCGCGAAAACAGGGGGGGGGGGGGGACAAGTACCCCCTGCGCCCCCCCCCCCCCCCGGTTCCGCCGCCCCTGAGAGGGCTTATTCGAGCAAAAAAAATGTGCACGTGTCTAGCCTGGCTTGCAATGGTCTATACTTTACTATGACACGTCAGGGAACCTAAAATTGAAGCTTTTTCAAAACTAATCAGCTATATCTTTCAAATCTGCAAGAGCGTTAAGTTCTGTCAGATCACCAATTTTGCAGAATTCTGCTAGAAATCTGCTTTAAAAAAAATCATTCTGCTCAACTCTCTTTCAAACTCCTTTTCGTCCCCCGAAACATTCTGTCAAATTTAGACGAAATTGGGCTAAAACCGTCATCCTGACACAATTTCGTTAAAATATGTATATAAATAATACTAGAAAGCACGGCTACATTTTACATAATTAATTTCTATTTAAAAAATAATATATATTTTAGGGGGGGGGGTGAGAGAAGGAGTGGGGGGGGGGGGGCGGGATTGGGGTGTATAGACTTTTACGTACGTGAGGTACGCAGTACGCTGAATCAAAACCCTAGCCTTAACACGAAGGGCGTAGAAGTGGTGCATTACATGGCCGTTTACGTTTTTTTATATAGCTACTGGTTCGGATGACTGGGGGGTGGGGGTGGAGTGGGTTTAATGTAACTACTTTAAGAGTGAGGCTAAGGCACTTTGTGGATCCAGGAGGGGCTAATGGGAACTCCAGCCCAAAAGCCGGGGTTGGAGGGTTTGTCTCCCCTACGAAATATCCCAGGGGTGTACAATAGTGCCTACTCCCCCACCCCACCCCCAGCCGGCGACACCTGCGGACCTATATATTATGCCATGAAAATGCCACGTGGCCTCCAGTTCACTCCCAATGCTCAAATGATATCGAACTTTCGACCAATAAAAGACGTCAAGACTTTGACATTGGTGGAGGAATGCACTCGCAACAAACGACTGAATCCAAGATGGCGGCCTCCACTAGTAAAGAATTGAATTTTAACATCGGAGTTTTGGGCCACGTTGACAGCGGTAAAACATCATTAGGTGAGGATTCAAACACTGTAAATTCATTTTGTATTTCACAGGGGATAGGAAACAAACATTTTTACTTAATCAAGCACTGCTGTGTCATTACAAAAGCGGTCAGAATGAGTGCCCAGTTCCCGGACAATCATATGTGTATAGATAGACATGTTGTGCAGTCCCCGGCTAGTAATACGTGGCGTACGGGCCCCTCTAGTCCCACTAATGTGGCAACGGTATTGCTGCGCTGTACCAATGCCACACATCCATGTGTATGATGTCTCAGTTTTTGCCCTCCGGGTTGATTAGGTTATTTTATATCCAATTTTTCGAGAACTTTAAACATGTATTTATAGGCCTATTGTTAACTAAAGCCATCTTGGAAAATATGTTGCAACCTGACGCCACTTCCGCGATTGCGTACAAAGTCTTACTCTAGGGAGTCTTGGAGAGTCAAGAAAATTTTCCTAACTAAATTGGAAATATTTGTCAGTCCCAGATTCATGTCTTATATTTTATAATCATTTTTGCAGTGAATGACCTTCATTCAATCATTGAGATGATAATGAAGAAAAAAGTGGCGTCAGGTTGCAACATTTTTTTCCGGCTTGTATCTGGAGTCCATATGCGTACGTAAAACGTCTGTTAATGGCAGCCATTTTGAATGTAAGAAGCGATGACCCAACCCAAAGCTGTGACATCGTGTTATGCAAATCAATCTTTTTGCTCCACGCAGCCTGCGAGTTGCAATACAGCATTTGTTTCTTTTCTTCATTTGTACAATTTCTCAACCAATAGTACGGTAGCGCGCAACCATGGGCGAATCCATTGTACAAGAAACAGCTGTCACATTGCAACCTTAGCGCCGTAGTGACAATATCGATTTGCACAACACGACGTCACAGCTTTGGGGACATCGCTTCTTACAATGTACATTCAAAATGGCTGCCAATAGCAGACGTTTTATGTGTGGACTCCAGAAAGATGCCTAAATCTCTTGAAAAATAAATCGGCAAGATTAGGCAGAGTAAAAAAAAAAATAGTTTCTCGTCCGGGGTTTTGGAATAATGGGAGGAAGTGGGGCTTTTTATTTTTTATTTTTTATTTTTTTCAAGATGACCGCCTTTTCAAAATTTCCTGCAACCGTTGGTGTTCCACTGTTCAAAGACACTTTTAAAGATGAAAGACAAGTTGGACAAGAGAACTGAACATATTTACAGTGTCATTTAGAGTTGTATTGGTATTGGTTTTTATTTTCCGATGAATTTGTAGACTTTTTCGGTGTTTTCTACTAAATTTTTCAAAAATAAAAAATAATAAAAAAATCCAGGCGGCCTCCAAAAAGGAAGCGGGCGGGGACGAGAAACTTGTTTTTTTTTTACTTTGCCTTACCATATGCGAAGTTCACTAATTTTCCTCTGTATTGACTAACAAACCCCCAGATAGCAATTTCATGTCATCAAAGTCAATTTGAGCAGTGAGAAAATACAAACATTTTCTTAGAAAACACTTAGAATTTCTCAGCCCACTCTCATAGGGTTTGTACACAGAGTGTTGAGTGAACTTCGTATATGGAAATCTTTCCAATAAATCTCTCGTTTGTGCGTTCACTTTGTACATGTATTTAACGTTTGCTGTATAAATAAAATATAACTCGGCGGCAACTTGTGCTTGTGCGTGTGGGAAACAAGACGTGGCTGCCGTATTCTGCTTGAGGTCATTGGTCATGATACTACCAGTATGGTCTAGTGTTCATCCACTGAGCATGCGTCAAATTTCAATTTGCCAAAGTACTTTGACAGCTGTTACCTGTTATTTAGTAATCATCGGTCTGAAGTGTGCCTGCATACACGTGCTGCAACGCACGTGTTCGTCCAGATCGCACGCATGTGGGCTGCAGTTTGTCGTCTTCAATGTTGATTTACCCTAACATGTCTCCCCAAAAAATATCAAACCTCTGCTTTCTGTCATTGACACTCATATTGGCTTTATATCGCTACTAGTTAGGTGGATTTTTCGTTCTCTTTACAGGGACAAGGCCCATAACTACTCAATCTTCTTTGACATTTTCCCCGCAGCGTTAACTTTCCTCATGCAGTATTGCAAAACTTCTTTGTTGACAAACTTGAAATTCATTCAGTTAAATATTGGTACTAAATGTAAACACCTTAAAAAGGTGTCAGTTTTTGGTTTTAATAAAAACCAGAAGACTGATTTTAATTGATGCCGCTCATGCCCTTTCCTTCTATGGGAAAGAAAGAAATGGACAAAAAAAAGAAAGAGTGCTCCCTCCCCCCCCCCCCTTTTAATTCCAATGGCTGGGTGAATTTGATTGAGAATTGAGGGTTGAACTTATTTCATTGCAGCTAAAGCTTTGAGTACTGTCGCCTCAACAGCAGCATTTGACAAGAATCCTCAGAGCAAAGAGAGAGGCATAACACTAGACCTCGGTAAGTTAGTCTTAACCCTAACTCCCTAGGCCTTTTTGCTAGGATGTAGCCTCAATCCTGCAAAATCCTCCAATTGGCCTCATGGAAAAATGTATAGCCTCAATCCTGCAAATTCCTCCGTTGTTTCTTGAATATGGTCCATGGAGAGTGACCACTGCCTGAATCCTGCAAAATCTTCTGGCTATGACTGTCAATAGGCAGAGGCAGAGGCAGTGACATCCTGGAGCAGTGCGGAGGTTGTCAAGTATAATCAAGGACTAAATTTACGCACGGCTGAGCATAAACAACACAAGGTCCGGCCCAAGACCTTGACACAGTGCGTACTCCGAAATCAGCAACGCACTTTGGCCATGTAACCTCAATCCTGCAAATTCCTCCAATTTGCAAAAAGGATTTTTGGAGGATTCAGGGCGGTTAGGGTTAATATTCAGTGTTCTTGACAGAGGAACAAGCTGGAAATGATCTTGGGAGCTGTGGCCAAACTGTAGACCTGCTGCAGTCCATATAAGTCATGGACATGATGTAAAAGTCTGTTCTTACAATGCACAAGTACTCACGTGGTCGTGACTGTCAATTGTAAAGGATTCCCATTTTTGAACGTCAGTTGGTGCATGGAGCATTTTATAGCATGTGGAACACCCAATTTGTGTGCAGTACAGTGCCAGCCCCAATTCGAAATGAGTGACCTCATGACCCAATTTTCCACGACTGCAATAAATTGGTAGCTGGTCAGTGGAGACCTGAAGCACGTGTTGTTGCGAGGGCCTAAGGGACAAGGTGATTGATTGCTATAAAAGGTATTTGCTGACATTTGTTACTAACCAACGGAGAGACACGATCATTTCCAGAGCTGCTTTCGGCAGCTAAAACTTTAGCAGGGTGGCACAGCGAGCGAAATCTGTGATTGTCAAAGGTCAGTTGGCAGGGCCTACAACTTACAAGCTCTCACTCGTACATGTATGCCCTCAACAGTTAGATTGGGAGAGTTCAGGGAGACCACTGGGAGTGGAAGAGACAGGTGGCATTGCCGATGACACCTGACACTCATGTGAAGACGCTAGCTTTTTGCACATTCAGAATAAAATAGGTCGTGTGTACAGTGTACGTGTACATGTACTTTGCATTATACATGTATGCACGAGAGCCAATACACACACACAGTGTGTCCCTCCCACTTGGCTCTCGAAAGTGGTAAAGAAGCGCCCACTTTTGATTATTTACCATTCATAAATACGTAAGAAAATTTACCCATTCCTATTGGTCGAGAGCATGTCACGTGGCCAATCTAATAACGGAATGATAAAGACCTGCTGGTTGGTCTTAAACACTTTTCCATTGTCACATGAAATTTAAACTCCTGTGAAATCTATTTCCTTTTACCATTTTATTGTTTGAGCTTTCACAGTCCTGTTGGGGCGCTGTGGTCCAATGGTTACGGTGTTCGACTCGTGTGCCGTGGTACACAGGTTCGAATCCTGACCGTGGGAACATGGTGCTTGTGCTCTTGAGCAAGGCACTTGCCATTATTGCTTCGTCCTTCGGATGGGACGTAAAGCCGTAGTTCCTGTGTGTTGTGTAATGCGTGTTAAAGAACCTAGTAACACTTGTCGCTCAGAGGAGGGATTTGCCCCGGTGTTTCTGGCAGTGGCAGCAATTATGCGCCGCAGCACCTAGCAAAAAGGTGCTACATAATGGGTCTCATAATGTTCATATACTTCATTTACCTGGCTTTGGTTGCATTCTCCCCAGCGCTTTGTATCCTCTGGCAAAAAGCGCTATGTAAATAGGGGCCTACAGTTATTATTATTATTATTATTATTATTATGTAGGCATGCGTAATGGTACCAGTGAGTCAGTATTTCAGAGTCCTAAATTCACAACGCACCCCCACTCTGCATTCTGTGCCACATCGCACAGTATGTGCGCCGCTAATCTCCATAAAAGGAGTTGCTTACGACCTACTCAGAAGCTGGACACTCCATTAGGCCCCTATGTATACATTGTACATGTAGCTAGAATTACTTAAATTAATCCATACTATCAGAAGTTACATGTATGCATGTTTTACAGCTGTCCATGGAATGCTATGAATTTATGTTTTGAAGCTACATGTATATTCAGCTAAGCGAGAAGCAGAGATTACACACAGGCATTCAAATACAAATGTATGAGATTTTAGTAATTTCAGTCAAGACTAGTACTACATGTATGTAGATTTTGTGTTTGTGTGAACATGTATGAGGAATAAATGAAGCCTTTTTCTGAAATCATGATGTTGATTTTGTCTGTTTTGCTTAGCAAGTTTTTCGTTCATTCATGGAGGTAGGAAAACCTCCGTGGTTCATTGTATTTAAAGGGTATTCATCAATGTGTATCAGTAAATGATCGGAGTTGGGCAGCTGAATTGTGTGGTATTTCTATCAAAATAGAATAACTTGTGAATAGAGTATGCAAACTACGTGAAATTGAGAAACTGTACTGTATGTACATGTACATTTTAACGGCCGGTGTCACATGAAAATCCGACTCCTATGAAAATCGGACCCCTTTTTCCCTTTTATTGGTTAATCCCTCGCACTTGACAGGTCACTCTCCCCACGGTTTTAGATAATAATGGTAGAAAGCTTCCCTTAAAATATTACTTGCTGAGGTGCTGTTGTTTTTGAGAAACAAGTAAAACAATTTCATGCAAATAATTTTCGTCTCATGAGAAGAAAATTATGTACAACGGATTTACGCGACTCTCCTGAAAAATATTGCTCTGTGATTTTCTCAAAAACTTGACGACTTACATTGTATGAAGCTGAAACTTCTACAGGTAAATTATAATACATCTTCTTTCACACTGAATAGGGGTTCATGTCATGACCAAAAACTTGTTCTACAACAGTTACAAAAACCCTTTAAATCACATGCAAGTGTCTATATATATAGGCTTGTGTGAAAAAAAAATCAACATTTTTTTCGTACACTTTTAGCTGTTTAGGGGGGGGGGGTCTTGAAAAAGTGTACTCTTTGTACACTTGTGAAAATGTTGATAATTGTGAATGGCCCCTTAACTGTACTTGTGAATAATACTAATAGTCTCAAGCATCCCATGAAATCATGGCACCTGGTGTGCTGTCATTTTCGAGGCAAGTGAAATTTTTATATCAATTTCCATCGATGGTCAGCCGACCATCATTGGAGAAAACCAGACTCTTTCTCAAATACTGCCCCCAATTTACCAAATTTAGTTAGTCTACATTTTGTTTGCAATTAGTTACCTAGTCTGGTTCCCTAACCTGACAATCCCCCGACGTCTATAAATTGCTTTGTTTCGTCTGAAGTAGGGTCAGAGAACCAGACTACAAGAACAGCATTTATTTACTTGTTTTTCCCAGCATCTTCGAACACTCACCCCCAAATTCATCCATTTCTGAATATTCTGAATATTACAGCAAAAGGAAGTGTTGTACAGGGTGGTGCAAAAAGAAGGCAACCCACTTTTGAAAGCAATTTTCACCTACTTGCTGAGCATATGTCAAAAATTCAATTTAATGGTATTAATACATGTATGGATCTCTAAACAAAAGTGACGAAAAAGTGATTGCAAATTATGCATATTTTGTCTCTGAGTGTATGGATGTTTGAAAGTTTCATGAGCCAAACCTGTTTGTCCACGGACGGCTTTATTCCATCCACTTGACTGAGCTCCGGAGCTTGATTTGAAGACAAAAAACATTACACTAGACTTACACATGAACAACAGTGATGTTGGTGACTTGTATATCGGCACTTTTAAATTAGCATAATAATAACACTATTCTTGCGATTTTTTAAAAGATTTTTTTCACCACGTATTGATTGAAGAGCTATATTTCACTACATTACAAAAACAAACACTTCAAAAAGTAAGTGCCAGGTTAAAATTTCTGTCAAAAGTGAGTTTCCTTCTTTTTGCACCACCCTGATATTGTTTCTGATAAAAAGAAAAGGTTAGAAAAAAGACGCTTCATTTATTTTCCATCCATGGTTTTACATGTACATGTAGCAGCCCAAAAAATACACATCTGTATAAAACCAAACTGATACTCCATCCACTCTACTTAATTCAGTGTGATCGGGGCCTACATAAGTAGAAAATGTGGGATTCTATGGTTTTTTTGCCTTGCGGGAAAGACCCAATAAGGTACCGGTAAGTTGTTTCGGTAGCACCATGTGGCAAAATCTCTTTTGTGGGTCTGTGTGGTTCTGAAAAGAACTGGAGGGTACTCAATGTTACGGACAGTATGCTCTGCCGGTCGTCGTCAGGAGACTGCAGTGAAGACCCACGGTGCAGCACCGTCCTTGTGAGGAGAATATTGCTCCGCTTTGTTGGAATGCCATTTCAAACGTCTTTCGTCTTTCTCTTCAATTTACCTCTCCGGATACATGCATGCCATCCCCTGTGTGGAGCATGCAGGAGCATGGGGGATTAAGCTGGATTAATCACAGAGTGCTTTGCCGACGGACATAACACACAGCCACCGGCCAGCCCTCGTACCGGTACCATCCTACCTGCCCGGTCTCTTGATGAACAACCGGGGGAATCAGTGAGCTTTCTCTCAGGGGACAGTGATTCAAGGATTCGGGGGGGGGGGGGGGGGGGGGGGGGGATGGGGGAGGGGGGGGAGCTGTTCATGGCTTCAGATTGTCGTTTTGTGAATGTTTTTCTTGCAAATGGGAAACCTGTTTTGATTATGTAAGTGCCAAGGTCTGGGGACTCTTTCTGCCCCATAATATTAATATTATAAGAGCTTTAAAAAGTATTAAAAATACTCTCTGGATTGAATCTGTTGATAATTGGGAGTAATTATTATTGTTATCTAATTTTGTAGATTTATAAGAAATGACAAATTTAAAATGGGGGGGGGGAGGAAATATATTCCTCCCCCACTATTTTGTGGGGAGAAATAAAAATGGGGAATTTTTTTTTTTTTTTTTTAACTTTCCAACATCCCAATTGTATTAAATAGCACTGAAAAATGGAGAACAAACAGTACAAACAGTTTAAAATACGCCATTTTGGTGTAAGGCACATAAGCACGCAAGTATGTACATTTTTTTATCAGGACCAGCGCCCCTTAGTGTAATGTGGTGACCAGCCCCCACCCTCCCCCCACCCTCTTCCCCACTTTTGGAATTTCAAAAGTTAGGGAATTTTAGGATTTTGGTCACCCCCCCCCCCCCCCCACTCGCCGACGCGGAATTACGCCACTGCTTGGATTAAAACTTGCACTGGTAATAAACACCTTGTGAAATTATTCCAGTCTGGATTGCTGTCATCTGGAAGTAATTAAGAAATTGAGGTGACTTCACAACAATCAGTCTAATTTTTGGAATGAATGAACGGAGTGCTACCGCTACACTGTACAGTACATGGACAAAATTGTGTTTCATGATCAAAAGGTTGTGCATGATTTTTAGCTTTACTGTTTTCTCGAAAAGTGTAAAATTCTATCAAGCTGAAATTTCCAACAGGTTAGGTTTTGAACATTCTTCTTTAGATTTTGAGTGGTGTTATTATTGGAAACGAACAACATGTATGAAAAACCAAATGATCCTACCGGTATCCTTTAACTGGATCGCAGGAGATTTAGGCCTACTTATTACGCGTTACATGTTGTTGTCGTTTGTGTAAATGGTCTTATAATTTAGGGTAAGGTACATTGTACATTTTACCAATTTCTGTTCAGGAACTTAGATCTGGAATGGTCTACAATTATGGTATATTCACTTTGCAATTCAATTCAGTAGAAGTGCAATTTACAAAGTGCAATTTACAGTACAGTGGAACGCCGCTATACCAAACACTGCTATACCGAACATCTGGCTATACCGAACATCATCCTTGGCTCCCGATTTTAATGTACAAAATGTACCAAACATCGTTGTTGACAAAAGTCAACAGATTGACAAAAACCTACCAGTTGTACCGGTACATGTATTAAACACTTTTTGGGCCACTTTTAATTCCCGAACATCAAACCACCCATGGTTACATCGTGTTTGAATGTTGAAGAGCGATAGATGGATAATAGTATTTCCCCAAGGAATAAAAGGGAAAACACCCGCTGTTATAGTTTTGTGACAACTCCTCGTGCGGCGGCGGGATGTGAGAAATGCCAGTTCAGTGACTTTACTATTGGTCAAAAGAGGGTACCGGCAGTTTAATCGCTATACCGAACGATCGTTATAACACTTTCTGTGGATCCCACGATGTTCGTTATAGCAGCGTTCCACTGTAGTATAAAAATAATGGAAAAAAGTGTGCGTACAGTACATGTAATTTACCACAAGTAACAAAATAATGCTTCAAAGTTAATTTATTAAAATTTAGGTAAATAAATAAGGAAAATTAAAAGAGTAATAAGGAGGTTACAAGGCTGTTCACATATACATGTAAACCAAGGCTTGTAATTAAAACGACCTGGACAAGCACTGTACACAAGTAAACACAAAAAAGAACAAAAACGAGAAAAGACAGGCAAGCAAACAAAAGACAAATGAATCTAACTGTAGAAGAGTCATATCATAAACCGAGCTGATGCAAGATGAAACAAAAACACCGCACAAAGATAACACAAAGGAAAAACAAAATATTGAATATTGAAAGATGAAAACAATTAAATAGTAAAGGAGGGAAGGCTATGCTACATACTGGGAGGGAAGGAGTCTTTCACATGTTTTATATTTAAGATTTGAATCGACCCACGGACTGCATTTCCCTGATGTCATCGGGAATGGAGTTCCATAAACGCCATCGAACTTAAGGGTGGGGCTACATGTACCCCAGTAAAGGTCTATTTTAACTTCCTACTGTCTAGTGTCTCCTCCAACTTCTTCATATTTTATTCAAGCATTTTTCCAAAAAAAAAAGGGAAAAAGAAAAAGAAAACAAGAAAAAAAAAACCAGGTAATGATCATTGATGATGATCGAACCACTCAAATGTGTGTTGATGTATTGCATTCAGGATAAAGCGTTAATGTTCCTCTCAATTACTTTTCCATTAACCGTCCATATAAAACATGTCATTTATCTGCCTGCCTCAAGTTCAGTGTTTAGGAGCGTCTTCTCTGTGCAACTGCCGGATCAATGATAAATGGACATCTCACTGCCGAGAACCAATATTCGCCCCCGGCAATTAAATGGTCTATTACCGGTACTCGTTCAGACATCCATCCTCAACAAAACCACACACTGTCACTGTGTAATGGCTGATAACACTTGAGAAGGCTAGGGACGACCCCTGAGCGTAAACTAGGAGAAATTCTTTTGGGAAAAAAAATAATATTCACTTTCAGGAACTGCAGATATTAAAGAGGTTTGCTACAGGCAGTTGGAACGAAAAAAGAATCTCCATCTTTGTCAAGAAACACTTGAATAAACCTAACCCTCCTATGCAAACATAGTGTGCAAAGTTGTCCTTTCGGTCAAAATCAATCAAGTGACTGTTTTCAACAGTTAAAAGCTCCCAGCCTACATAAAGCAGGATTGACTGGCTGTGACTGTTTATGTAGCTTGATACAGCTGTGCTTTGACTGTGGGTGATTGATAAGCAACCTGTGCCTACCACTACCGCTTGCCAGCTTTTGTCTGTTGACTGAATTTGACTAGTCGCAGTGCTTGCTGGAATATGATCTGACTGTTGGTGACTAGCCTGTGTAAAAGGCATGGCAGGGGAAGAGGATTGATTTTTTGACTGTCTGTGACTGTTCAGATAGCAGGAGGGTTAATCCAATTAACAGTGTGTGTTTGTACGGCATACACGACCTTTACAACTCTGGGTCTTGTTGGAAATCCAATTTCTCTGCCCCCACTAAAAGTGTATCCATGTACATGTATGATGTGCATTTACACATGTACTTGCCAAAATAACCATGATAAGGCCAAAAAAAAAAGTCGGTCTCTGGTCAGCGCGCGTGTCAATTTTAATCATGCACGTCGATCTTTTTTTTCCCCAAAATGTTCCACGGTAGCTCCAACAGCGCCCTCTATTTCCGCACCTCCTCAACTTTTTTTTACCAAAGAGCACCAAGGAATGGGAAATTGCACCGAGGCAAATTATGGAGGACACCGATGTACATGAGGACACCAAAAAAGCAAAATAGTACCTACCTTGTCTGTACAATCCAAGCTTGAAGAAAAAGAAAAAAATCCGCGTGGCCGCGTCAATTCCGGAACTTTGGTCTGACCAGAGACAGAATATCTTTTTTGGGGGGCCTAACCAAGGGAATTTACACATGTTAATCTTAAACTAAATAGAGCTTTCAGACCTTGAGTATTAACTTGAGGTTGAACTCTGATGGGATACCTCATAAAACCCCATAAGAAAGCCTTGAGGTAAACATACAGTTACCACCTGCTTAATGTCACATTCTCACCTACTTGTACCTCATTTTCTTTCATGGAAGAATTCTCACAAGTAATTCCTTTCTGTTTCTCTTTGAAGGTTTTTCCTCTTTTTCTGTGGACCTCCCTAAGCACCTGGCTGGTGAGAAGTATGACCGGCTACTCATTACCCTCGTTGATTGCCCAGGCCACGCCTCCCTCATCAAGACCATCATTGGAGGTAAGAATGAGACATCTTGGATCTATAGACCAGTACGTTAATCCTCTCCCCATAATCTTTTGACCAGTCACAGCCCTGGGGCCGATTTCATGAAACTTATCTTGCGACTCGTCTTAGGACTTACATGTAGGACGGGTCCCCGCTCTAAGATCGATGTTGTACTGTAATTGTTCCATTGTTATTTTTCATTTTTGAGAAAGATCCCCTAGCTAATCAGGAGCCCTAACTTACACTTTGTAAAGAAAATTATAATGAATGAATCAATAAATATATATAAAAACTACTACTGCTGATTATTATGACGGGAAATGGGTCATTTATGAGACATTCCCGTAGACTTGTGCAGACTTTAGACTTTTTCCATCTTTAATATCACCTTACCCAATTTTACCTTATCCTACCCCCGCGAATTTCGGTACATTTATGTTTTGGACCACACGAGCAATTGATCTAGACTATTTGCAATGGTAAAATATTGCCTCTAAAGGAGCTGTGACATGAGGGAGATACTGAAATGTCTCCCTAAAAATCCGGTGTCTCCCTGTATAATTAATGACGACAAAATGTATCCCAAAGGCACCACTAACAGGTATTATCTTCTTCTGTATCCATAATCACCCCGAAACCCTCAAATCCATTTTCCCCAAAAATATTTTGGAAATCCTGATTTTCCTAATCCAGATTGACTGGAAAAATGTTCTATAATTTGGCTGCAGCTTTTTTTTATCCAGTCATCGTGATTGGTTTAATTCCAGCTATTACACCACAGAGGAGTCCCATCGTCTGCAGGATTTGTCTGCACCTCCACACTCCTAATTTTCTCAGGCGTACATGTAGACTACAGTGCACCTTGATCAGTGATTTGAACACTAGTAGCACATGTGCATCGACTATCTCACCATAGGCCAACATTTGTTCAGTTGTTCAGTCTGTCGACGCCAGTCTAGTATGTTTTCTTTTGTTGAGTGCATAGTACAGCTGAACCTAGGTAATTGTGTTTCCACAAAGACAGCATCTGTAGACTTTGGAAAACTAATTCAGCCTGGATGCTTCGAAACTGAATTCAGCTCGAAGCGCCGTGGTCCAAATTGATGGTGTTTGACTCATGTGCCATGGTAAACGGGTTCAGAAACCCGCCGGAGAACATGGTGCTTGTGTACGTGGGCAAGGCATTTTACTACAATTGCCTCTCTCCACCCAGGAGTATGAATGCGTGCTTGTGAAGGTACATGTTGACACTTCAAGCTGCTGCAGAAAAAGGGTCGCATGGCCTGATGAACAGGGGTAATAATTTGAAGCTCTTTGAGAATAGGAACAGAGCACTACATGTACATGTACTATGTAAGCACTGCATTACAACCACAAATAGGACCTTTGGGAGATGCTTAAGTGTCATAAGTTATTGGGAGACATGTGGAATTAGGTTCAATGTCTCCCTAATGCCTCAGCCCCTATTTAGAGGCAAAATGTTACCATAGCAAAAAGGCTAGATTGCTCGATTGCTCGTGGTCCAATTAGTAAATATACCATTATCATTAAAGTTGGAGAAAACAAATTGTGCACAAGTGTATGGGAATGCCTCGCTAGTGACCAATTATCGGTAATATTCTTTAATATTATTATTATTAATGATATGCTTCCAATTAGAATGCCTTGACTACACAGGACTATCTTTAAATTCTTTTCAGTGTGGTAATATGACACTCCTGGAAACATCCCTGCTACTTGTATGCACAGTGTACATGTAGCTACTGGTACCGGTACCTGCTTACTTTTTTGTTGTGTACAATGTACATGTATACAGTGCCAACTTTTGACAGCATGTTCAGGAACAGTGGGTTTAACCTTCAGTCACTTAAAGAGAAATGTTTTGGGTACTCCCTGTTAAATTTTGTTGCACTTCTTCCTCGAGTGTTTTGATCGAGTGTAGAATGCCATGGTCCAGTGGTTACGGTGTTTGACTCCCAATCTTGCGTGGGTTCGAACCCTGCCAGGAACATGGTGTTTGTGCCCTTGGGCAAGACACTTCGCTACAGTTGCCTCTCTCCACCCAGGAGTATGAATGGGTACCTGTGAGTGTGAGGGTAGAGGACCGAATGTGAGCAGATATCGGCTGCCACGTGGTCTCGTGGCTTGATGAACGGGAAATTTTTGTAAAGCGCTTTGAGATTGTTGATACGGTGGAAAGCGCTATATAAGATTACAATTTATCAAAAAAAATTAATCAAACCATGTCCTTGCCTCATTCTTGTATTCCATTCTTGTATTCTTAACAAAATAATACATACATATGTACTTTGTCGGCACCAGAGCTGGAAATACCCAGGATTGAATTCCCAATGCCTAATGCAGCCTGTTCAGGACATACAATATGTAGGGCCTACAACCTTTTGATTGCATGAATTTCAGCTGACGCAAGCTTCACTAATCGTATCACTCAGCACAAACTTCACAAATTAAGACTACGAATTGAATATGAGCAAAATTACCCTCTGTGTTGGACACAAATATGCACACACAATGGATAATTATTTTGAAAGACCTCCACAACACACATATTGTGCACACTAGAGATTACAAATTCGCATCTACTGTCCGTGCTCTTCAATCTAGGAGATTTTTTTTCTCCTGACGCAGTTTAGACTTACCCCCGGTATGTTTTATTTTCATGAAAAAGCTAACCTTTTCTATTTATTGGTGTGTGTTTTATTTTGGTAAAAAGGATTCTTTTCTATTTTTGGCCGTTAAAAAATCATTTTGCTGTTGTTTTGTTGTTTAAAGGCTGTTTGTTTAAACAGATTGGCCGTTTTAGCAGACTGGTTCCCGTCAGTCTCTACATTATCGATGTTGGCCAGGGAGGCAGGAATCAGTCTGAATTGCTAGAATTGATGTATCGTTGGACCACAATTAATTATTTCATAATTTATCATTGGCCGTGTTTTCTTTCCTTTTGATGTCTCATTCAAAAGTGGAAAACGTTTGTTTTGGTAGAAAAACAGGGTGTCCCCCCCCCCCCACAAAAACAAGTAACAAAGTAAAAAGTATTAAGTAAAGTCTGTTACTAGCCAATTTGCCCCATCAGACAGGCATTTATCTCTGGTTTCAGTAGTATGAAACAACTTTCCTTTTTTTTGACTCACCGTGTACATGTACATGTATCTTCCAACATCATTTGCAGGCACAAGACGATGCCCCAGCCCACAGGCTCATTGCTGTCAAAAATCACTTTTCAAGGAACATTTGGGGACAGAGTTATGGCACTGAAACATCAGGTAGAAAGACCTGGTCAATGGATTTGACTCCTTGTGCTTTTTTTTTTTGGGGGGGGGGTATTTAAATCCAAAAGTAGGCCTAACTGACGTAATTATTGTTGAAAGACATACTTGGTTGAAAGATAGTAAGGGGACTAAACTCCCTGTGAAATTATTCTTTCTGGTAAGCTGTCATTTTGAAGAAATCAATGAAAGAAGGCCTTTCCAACGGTGCGTCTTAAGAAGCACCGTAGAAAATTCAAATTAGTAGTTCGTTTTGTTCTTCGGCGAAGCACGCGCAAGCATTGGCACGACGCACACGTGCGCGCGGTTGCTATAAATCGTCGGATCAGTGCGCGACATCGCGTAGCTGCAATCGGCTCACTGAGAACGTGACTCAGATGCTGGATTCAGGCCCAATTCAAAAACATGATTCAGCAACTTTTGATTTGAAATAGAGATCCCAGAATGTTGTTTTTCTCGAAAAATGCAGCTGAAGCTGAGCTGAAACTTTATCAGATTGGTTTGTTCAGCATCCTTCTTCAGATAATGCAACATTGGTAAGATACGCCATGGAGGATATGTGCCCCTGCTGAGAAATTTGAGAGGTTGCTTCGGAACTAAATGTACTATAATTTTGTTTTAATTACGCGCTGCATATATTAGGCCAAACAGGTGCGCGCGCATTACACAACCAATACGAGTTTCCCTAGACGGTGTTCTGACAAGTCCGTGGGCGATATTGGTTGGTCCTGATAGTACCCTCCTGCAGCGGCAGGTTATCGCGGCCGCGGGTTATCGCGTATCAAACCATAACAACGTCTAGCCCCCCTAGACCAAGGTGAACCATGCATTGTGTTGAATTCTGCATGATTATGATTATCAATTGATGTGTATTATGTTATGTTTATGTTTTCATAAGGTAACATATCCCTTTTAGCCAAATTGCCTATGTCTGGAACTCAGTGATGCATGGCCAGAGGAATGCATCCAAGTTTAAATGGAAAGCTTACATGCCTCTAGTTTATGATAAAACCATAATACCGATACATTGCGTAATGCATGTTCATAGCTTGTTCATAGGGAGTATCTGATGAGGAGGTTTAGAGCTAGAATCTTTTCTGGGCACAACCCTTGTTTTCCAGAAAACATATATTTTATTGCACTGAAGAACTATTCAATATTACACACATTTCCAGAAAAAAAGTACTCCATGGCAATATTCATGATCCTCTGCTAATGTCAATCAACGATCCCTGACATTTGAAGCCTTTTGAGTATTAACAAATAAAATGCATTCATCAGCCAATATTAGCAGTCAAGGCAATATGCATGTCTTGCCTCAATAAGGCATAGGCAAGACCATCTCAGCTTTCTGGGAAGTCAATCACATGCATTTAGTGCAAACCACTTAGTCAGAGACTTATCGGGATTATCTCTGCCTCTCCTCCCACCCCCCTCCCCCCCCCCCCCCCGACTACCGGTAGTTTTACCTTTGAATGTGAAGAAACACCTTGTATAATACATACACGTACATGTATCAACACTCACTTGTTCTAACCTTCAATCGTGTCAATATCCAGAATTTGAAGAAGAGCTAGACAATTGGGCACTGTACAAACACATGAAAGAGCCAGTGCATGTAGCAAAACAATAGGCCTATTCTACAGAATCATCTAGACAAATGATAGAAGGTTCTTTGTCTTTTGTGGTGTTACACGTGTAAACCCTATCTGATTCATTCTGGATAAATTTAGGGTCCAAGGTGTTGACATTTTTCCTGACCCTGTTACCGCATTTGCCATTCGAGCATCATGAGGAATTACTTCAACTGATTTCTTACTTTCTGTACATTGTACTTGTTGTGTGTACGCACATAGTCCACTATTCATTATCACTCTTGGGAGATGACCGCATCAAAGGCACATAGGATCATTTGCATAATTTATCTAAAAAGTAACCTACTGAATTATTATCAAAAACGCTTACCGGTACTTGGATTAAAGATTGTACTGGTACCAAACACTCAGTCCTGTCTGTGAAATTATTCCGTCCGGCTTACTGTCATTTTGAAGTAATATAACAAATGTAGGTGATTTCCAGGGATCAGGATGTTGACTGATCGTTTGAAAAAGAAATGTTTTCTATTGGCAAAATTGTGTTTTGTGATCAAAGGGTGCCTAGTTTTTCACTGCTTTCTTGTAAAGTGTAATATCCACTGAGCCGAAACTTCAACAGGTTAGGTTTTGAACATTCTTCTTTGGATTCAGCGTGGTGTAATGATTGGAAACAAAGTGCATGACTAAAAGATAAGGGTCCTATACCTTTAAAGGGAATGTACATCATTGGCTTTTGCTGTAATTTTCAGAAATGAACTATTTTGAGGGGTTAGTATAACAGATCAAATATTGTTACACTGACATGTTTGAAGTTTTGTGTTAAAAAAAACCTGGAAAAACCAAGAAAAACAAAAATGTTCAAGTAGTCTGGTTCCCTGACTTCACTAAAGATGAAATGGACCAATTTATAGATGCCGGAAAATTGTAAGGTAATGGAACCAGTCTAACTGGCCTGCACCCGTTCATGAACATGTAACCAATAGCAAACAAAATTTGGACTGAAAAAAAATGGTAAATTTGGAGCAGCAGTTGAAAAATAGTTAGGTTTTTCCAACGGTGGTCGGCTGACCACCGTTGGAAATTTATACAAAATACCACTTTTCTTGAAGATGACTTCACACATGGTGCCATAATTTTACAGGATGATTTAGACTGTAATTTACCAACATCCTAGTAAGGTATTTCGTAAAAAATTGGTAGGTTTGTTTTTCGATGTTTGCAAATGTTGTATATTCCCTTTAAAAGAAGGTTGGAGATAGTGCACATTTTGTGCACCTTTTATTCAATACAATTTTAACTTCCTTGAATGAAAGCGATCTTTCTTTGAATGAAAGGGATCTTTCTTTTTATTCTCCTTTTGTGAAAATGTGATGATTACAGGTGGTCGGTTTGTTCTTGACTCATCTGCATAATGGGTATTGATTAGTGAAATGAGAAATTTTCAACATTTTGTAAAAGGAATCTTTGCATGTACACCCACGGATGATTAGGAAAAAAAAATTAGAAAATATGATGATTAGAATTTGAGTGGTCAGTTTTGTCCTTGATTGATTTTTTTCTAGGAGCTCAGATTATCGATCTGATGATGCTGGTGATTGACGTTACTAAGGGAATGCAGACCCAGTCAGCTGAGGTAAGCCTTCAAGGCTTCGATGAAAAAAAGAACCCACCAAAATTGTGACATATAGAATAATTATATTCAATATTGTGTTTAGCCATCAAAATACAGGTTTTATTTAAATAAAGCAATTTTATTTGTCAAGGCACTTGCTATAACTTGAATAGTCGTTGGTAATTCCCAAAACATTCAAAACAAATTCTGAAGGCTGTTTTAGAGAATATATTTGGGTGAGTTTTCTTGATTTTGTTCATCTTTTACATGAGTAAGATTTGAGGCTTTGCATGGTGGAGATACTAAATAATGAAAGGTTGCGGAAACACCATGTGCGAATAATTTCTCAACTAAGAGAATGGTTCTGAAAAGAACCAGAGGTATAAACTCGACGTTCCGGTCAGTATGCTCTGACCGTCTTCAGGAGAGGCGGTCAGAGCATACTGACCGGAACGTCGAGTTTATACCTCTGGTTCTTTTCAGAACCATTCTCTTAGTTGAGAAATTATTCGCACATGGTGTTTCCGCAAACCTTTCATTATCTTTTACATGCCTTTCATCAATCACACCCAAAGAGAGCTTGAGCCTGCCCCAACTCAATTGCTTCCCTCCCCAAAAAAGGGGAGGGTGGAGTGAAAATATGAGTGAAAATATTGAGTGAAAAATGATAATTTGAAGTACTACTTTTTGAATTTTCCACGGAAGGCTGAAAATAACTGAGCCCGTCCATAGGACGAGTCCTGGGTGCTCCACTGTCTTGAGTCAAAGTAATTCAAGAAGCAATTCTTTAATATAAGAAATAAATTTGTTCTTTAAATTCACGAGTTGTTAGTGTATGGAGAAAAGTCACAGGAAACAAAATCTTTCCTCAAAATGTCTTCCTTACTTCTTCATTTATTTTGATTTTGTATTGCTTGTCAGTGCCTTGTCATAGGAGAAATAACCTGCTCTAAGATGGTGGTTGTCTTAAATAAGATAGACTTACTCCCTGCCCAGAAGAAAACGCAAATGATTGAAAAGGTGAGGATCCTATTTTATTGATTTTTTTGTTTCTGTGATTTGTTCTGTGTTACTAAGAAAAACTGAGTGAGAAAGTAATGAACAAGCGATAACTTTCAGTCAGCATCCATCAGAGTTGTAGTCAAGTTCATCACAAATCCTCACGTCTTCACCAGTGCTCACAAGTCCCCACTGTCCTCACAAGTCCTCACAAGTCCCTACAAGTCCATACAAGTCCTCACAAGTCCCTACAAATCCATCACATGTCGCAACAAGGCCTCACAATGTCCACAAGTCCCCACAAGTCCCCACAAGTCATCACAAGTCATCACAAGTCATCACAAGTCATCACAAGTCATCTCAAGTCATCACAAGTCTCCACAAGTCCTCACAAGTCCCCACAAGTTCCCACAAGTCCCCACAAGTCCCCACAAGTCCTCACAAGTCCTCACAAGTCCTCACAAGTCCTCACAAGTCCTCACAAGTATTAAGTTGAATCACAAACTTTTCACAGAAAATGTTGCAAAGGCAGGTGTTACTTCTGACTGGACTTGTGAGTTGATTTGTGGCTTACTTGCGACCGGATATGTCATGGACATTTGATTGAGTTGAATATAGGATGGCATGCACGCAGTCAGGCATGCACAGATGAATAAAATCACTGCCCATGCTGTTACAGTTCTAGATGATTCTTTCTGAAAAGAAAACGCAAGTTAATGGCACTCCTGGCAGGAAATTTCATCAAAGATGATGTCATTAGAGTATCCTCAAGGATTTGAGATATGTAGACCAGAACCGATTGCTCAGTCAGTAACCTGGCTATTACTCACAACGGGATCGTTGTTGAACTTGTTTTTATTTGAAGGCACGGTGCTTCCAGTCCATTTAACAAATTTGCATCACAAATGACAATGCTTTGGGGCTTCAGGCTTTTCTGACGAAAAAAAAATGCAGTTATTCATCACGAAGGCATTGCTGAGTTGAAATGAGTTCAAATGTTCAATATAAAGAAGCGACATAGGGTACATGTTTGTAGTTTATTAAATGTAAATCTAGACCACAGTTGGTTCTTGTGTTTCCCATTGGGTTTTTTTTCTGTGACATCCCTAACATTCCTTAAGGGTAGATCATGGGTGGCTAGTGCATAAAGCGCTCGCCTCTCACAGATGTGGCCCTGGTTTGATTCCCGGCTACGGAACATATGTAAGTGGAGTTGTGCGTTGGTCCTCTTCTGTGCCATGAGGGGTTTTCTCCGGGACTTCCGATGTTCCTTGTTCTGGAAAAAAAAAAAACACTTTCGATCTCAGGCTGTGCTCCGTTGTCATATATAGGTCCATGTGGCTGGCTGCCTAAGGCGCCTCTAGAGTCCTGCGGTTCGACCACACAATGCGGCTTCTCAGCTGTGAGCAAGGATGATTTAAGTCTCCCAAATTATTATTATTATTTGCTTTTTGTCCTTTTTTTTTTGGTTTTGTTTGAAGCAACAAAGTTGTTCAAAATCTTAAGTAGGGTGCATGACATAAACCTGTTTAAGTTTCAGCTCGTCAGTATAATTTCACGGGGTAATTTATATCAGTCCTATTGTTCTCTTCACTTTGAGCAAAACATCTGTTATTTAATAAGTTATTTACCAGCTAATTGCAGATAATCCTTTGTGGCTCCATGGGCGTCTCCAAGACTTTTTTCTAGAGGTTTGCAAAACACATTATTTCCCAAAATCCTTGTTTATGTACTTTCTCCAGCATATTCTCAATTTATCATTTTTGTAAGGGTGGGTAGGGGGACATTTGCCCATCCCACCCCCTGCCGACACCCCTGCGGACGCCCATGTCGTTAAATGTGCATGAAATTAACAGCAATATGACTCTGCACCTTTTACAACTGTTAATATGATGGTAGTAACCAACGGATAGTGTACCACCAACCGATAATGTATCACTGACCGATGTTGTAAATGCAATGTACCAATTTTGTTGTACAATATACCACACTATCAGTCAATTTTTGTTACATTATTGGTTAGTGATACAGCTTTGGTCAATTGTTGAATTATATTATCAGTGTGATGATATGTTATCCGTTGTTCATAAATACCTCAGACAGTTTAGCTAATCCTATTGGTCGAAAGCCCGTCACGTGGCCGGTCTTATACGGATGATAAAGACATGGCTAGCTGGTCTTAAACACTTTTCCAGTGTCACAATAAAATGTGGACTCCTAAATATCCAGTGCCTCTTACCGTTTCATTGGTTGAACGTTCACAATCCTCACGTAGGCATGCGCAACACTACAAGCGAGTCAGAATTTTATAGTTCTAAATTCAAAACGCAACGCCCCAGGTGCGTTCTGCGTGACATCGCGCAGAACATGTTACGCGCGCGTCAATCTCCATAAAAGGGTTGTTTACATCTTACTCGCCAGCTGAACACTCCATTATTTTGCTAGAGGGATGTTTCAAAAAGCATGAAGTGAACTTGTTGAACAAAATCGGGATTTTTTGAATGAATTATTTGATATTTTTTTACTGATAAGGTATTTATGAATGGGAATAAATATGTGCTCGGTCGGTATTTATCACTCTGTTTAATACCGCTTAGAGTCCGGGTGCTGATAATTACCCTCGCCTCCGGCTCGGGTAATTATCAGCACCCAGACTCTAAGCGGTATTAAACGAGTGATAAAAACCTTCGGAGCACACATTTATTCCCTTAGTAATTGGGTCATTCCACCGGGTTAGGAAGCAGTGCATGTTACATCCATATATTTGGTTATATTATTAAAAGTATCAATGTATTCTAAACAATTGCTCAACATAATATTTGTCTTAGGGTGTTTCAATACTTCAGAAAGTTTGAAATCATTTGAAAGTACTTCGACAAAAATATGAGCAAAAATGTATTAATTCGGACGTAACATTTACACCGTGTCAATGTTACATCCTTTTTTGCCATATTTTACACGTATTTAAAATATTTCCCAAACTGACATTGCATATTTACAACTGGACACCTAAGCACCAAGAAAAGCTTTTGTTTTGGTATAGTCAGGGTTCAAATATAGCAGAAACAATACCTCAAGTGTGGATGTAACGGTGTAAAAATCACTCAATGGAAGTGTGACATTTGGGTTTTACACCGTGTAAATGTTACGTCCACACAACCAAGCTATCATTTCAGCTCCATTTGATACCTAACTACCGTAACAAAAGCTTTTCTTATTGTGTTGCACCTATAGTAAGAAGTACGCAAAGTGAATTTGGTAATGTTTCGCAGAAATTGTAAAAAAAATGTACAAATGTTATATTTGGATGTAACACTGAGATGGTGTCAATGTTACATCCAAAATGATATTTTTTGCTCATATTTTAGGCAAAATCCATTAAAATGATTTCAAACTTTCTGCAGTAGTGAAACACCCAACAACAAATATTATGTAGAGCAACTGCTAGCAAGGCATTCATGCTTTCTTAATATGATCATATGTCACACATTGTTCCCCAACCCGGTAGAATGACCCACATATATATGAAACCCACACCTCAAACCATTTAATATTTAATAAACTCTGTCTGTCATTGCTATTTGGCATCCAGATGACCAAGAAGATGCTGAAGACGTTGGAGAACACCAAATTTGCCAACTGTCCCGTGGTTCCGGTAGCAGCCAAGCCAGGCGGGCCAGACAGCCCTGATACAGAGGCACACGGCGTGGATGCATTGATTGAAGTAAGTGTATGATTATTTTCTGATCATTCCCGTAGACCACTTGCTCAGGTTTCATCATTCAATGTTGTTAGTTCCCCGTGCTTTTTAAGTTCATCGCAAAAAATAGATTCCTTTTTTAAATTGCTATTTTTCTAGCACTACAAAAGTTATTCACTTTTCAATGAGACATCGACCGAAAAAATCGCCCATGTTTAGTTCTTGAATTTCAAATTATTGGCTGCCAGACAATGATTCTATTCCCGTTGGGTAGACTGGTTCCCGCCCCCACAATCAGTATCAATAATGTACGGACCGAGAGCCAGTCTGCTCACATCGCGGATCTGTTTGTGTTAAAAAAAAAACCACACTTTTTTTCAGAGGTTTGCAAATGCCCCCAAGAAATGAAAAACGGAGGTTTTCGGTTGGAATAAATTGAAACTCTATTAATAGCAAAAAAAATTGAATTTGCCAAAGAGCACAGGGAACGCAGCTTCAAATTCATTGACAATAAAAGTACAAAGTGTATACTCATGCGTATCACAGGAACAAAAGCCTGTCCTCAGATTTGACGTCAGACGCAAGGCTGGGGCAGATCTAGCTTTCAGGAAAATGGGGGAGGGGGATTTTTGAGTCTCAGGTGAGCCAAAGGCACGCCCTGCTAGGGAGTCCGGGGCATGCCCCCTAGAAATTTTGAACTCTACGAAGCTACAAAATTGTGAATATGGGCAATTCCACGTTACATTTTCGTAACGTGAGTAACCGATTTTGTGCATCTTGTTTATCTTACATAACACATTTTTCTTGATGTCATCTTTGGTGCTTAGGTAGGTCTAGGTCTACTCTATCTACCATGGGCATAACAGTTATTAAACCTTTTCAGTAAGGTAATTACAGCCCAAGGAAACTCAAAAGTACATCAAAAATGTAATGTGAGTAACCGTGGAATTGCCCATATATTTAGGAACTTTAACATGCCATTAATTATTTTTAGCCCCACTTCACTAGTAATACCATCAGCCATTTTACTAGTATCATAAGATTAGTCAGCGACTGAACATGCTGAATGGGGAATCCTAGATCTGCTACTGCAAGGGGTACATTATTGGTAATGGCATTACAAAAGTTTACGGTAACTTACAATGTATTGCCTGCATTGATTGGCAAACAAATAGGGGTGTGCATTAACGGGTGGTACAGGAACTGGGTACTCTGTTGAAAAAAAACACGTTAAAGAAACCAACGCCAAAAATGCGAACATTCAAATCTCGGAAGTTGCTGTTGAGACAGTTTACAAAGGCCTGCATGATTATACTACTGCGCTGGCGCATCAATACAGCAAGATACAAGTACAGTGAGCTTTATAGCTTAACCCTTACTCTCTGAGGGTAGTTTACTGCATGTCAGTTGGTTATGCCAATGCCCTCCAGCTGCAGTTATTTGGCAGATAACAAGTCTTAACAGTGAAGGCTCCAATTGGCAGGAGTTGGAGGCCCTGGAGGGTGCCTGATACTGACCAGCTGGGGGCACTCACTTTGTTATCAGAGGACTCTCATTGTTCTCTGTGGCATGTATTGGAGTGCCTGTCCAGTTACCCTTGAAATGACATGGCAGATATTGGAGGGCCATGCAAAAAACATAGGAGATTTTCTTGAGGCACAATTGGCATGCATTGGAGGGTCAAGTAGGGTAAGGGTTAACGGTGTAAACTGCAGCTAGTGGCCTGCATGGTTTTCAGTTTGAAAATTCCCCACAAATGACTTCAAAACCTTTTTTTTTCATTGTCTGAGAAGTAACTAAGTACATTGTGTAATTTGTAAAGATGGTTATGGGTACTCGATCCCATAATCTAGAACCGGTTCCTGACATTAACGGTCGGGTTCTCTGTTACTCGGTTCCAATGCCCAGCCCTACAAACAAATTATTCCAACAACTGAAGTTTCCATCTTACGGTATCTCTCTTCACACGCCCCCTCATAGTTTCTCTCTCACACATAATGTACATGTAATGACCTTTACTTTCAGACACATTGACTTTTCACCGGCTAGCACCTTTTAGCTACTGTGCGCCTTTCAAATTGCTTTGTTGTATTATTAACTGATCGTTCTCGCACCTCTTCACAACACTGGTCTTAACATTATCTGCACCAAGTACGAGTACATCTGTCTTGTTGTGTATCGCACTTCCTTTGTGGAAGTTTGGTGTGTGGAACTTTGCACAGACTGATATTTGATTAATTATCAAACCGGAAACATCAATTCATCGCTCAATCGATGAAGCAATGAAATGAATAATGATTGCAGGCCTAGGACCAAGGGATAGGGAGAGGTGTGAAAAACTAGCATGATGGTGAGAGAAACGCAGTGCGATATTGTGAATAATACAGTCGTGTTGTGGGCACGTGTGGTCTGGCGGTAGAGCATAGGATTCATGATCGTGAGATTGTGGGTTCTAGCCCCGCCGTGGCCATGCGTGTTGTGTCCTTGAGTAAGGCGCTTTACCTCAATTACTCCTCTCAACCCAGGTGTTAAATGGGTACCGGCATAAATTCAATGCTGGGAAGGTAACAGACTCGCTGTGGAGGAGGTGTGGCGATCCCCCTACAGCAGCATATGAGTCTGGCCCAATCGCTAAAGAAAGAGAGATAGGCACTCCGCTCCTGTAAACACAGGTTCCTCCCCTTTACTTTTACCTTTACTTGTGTGGTTAGGTTTAAAGGTACCGGTAGAGTGGACCATTGCAGCTATCCAAATTATTGTTAAAAAGCTTACTTGGTTCATTTTGAAGCAAACAATCAACGAAGGTCATCTCCAAAGATGTGTCACGTGACACAGTTTTGGAAATTTCCCTTTGTAGATGGTTTGTAATCGGGCGAATCTGTGAATTTGTGTAAGCAGCTGCTTTTATTCGTCGGTTCAGTGTGTGACTTCATGTACACAAATGTAGCTACAATCAGCTGAATGAGAATCTTGTCCCGAATGCTGATTTTGGGATTGTGTTACCACAAGAGGGCGCAATTCAAACCATGACATGGCAACTTTTTAACTGTAATATACGGATCCAGAATATTTTGTTTTCCCAAAACATACAGTATTCACAGAGCTCAATCTTCATCAGGTTAGTTCTTAAGCATCCGTCTTTAGAATTTGAGCACTTTTGTCATGTTTGTTGCTTGTTGCTTCAAACGAAAAATGAAATGCATAAATGACAAATGGTCCATTAGGGTAAACTGGGGTAAAAACGCCCGATTTTTCAGTTTTTGTTAAATATCTCAGTACTACTTGGAGACACCAGGAAATAAATGTGTGGTTTTATGCAATACATGTCTCCTCTATCAGGTGCAAATATAAAATCATGGTCATTATATTGATAAGGGGAAATTTTCCCCCCTTTTCGGGAGGAAGTTTGGCGGGCGTTTTTACCCGGGCCTCGGGGTAAAAACGCCCGCCCACATTTATAAAAAAAAAAATGGCTATACCACAGGCTTCCCTGTAGTATAGTCATATTTTTGTAATTAATTTAATATTGAGGGATACTCCATCAAATACAAATAACTTTTCAAACACATCTGGTTAATTATATCTACAAACTTGATCATTTGAAACAGGTATTTTTATGTGGAAGGAAGCGGAACATTAGCGTACATGTACATAATTCGCCCATAACAAACTTGTATTGAAAATCTATTTCAATCTTGTTTAGCCAAATCATAGTTCCATGTTATTAGGCATGTATGTATGTTTCTAGCCTTCTGCTGATAACCTAAGGCTTTATCAAAGGAGAACTACAGTACTAAGATATGCACATTTCTGTAACAACGAGACAGAGTTCTTAGAGAAAAGAAATGTGTTCGTAGACATGATGGAGAAACTTCTACTCTGTAACCACAAGAAAGAGGAAATTGCCAACTGGCCATAAAAGACGTACAATTTGAAATCTGTGAGCAATACATCATGAATGAAACACGACCAAAAGAACCACCTCTAGTCTTCAAGATCACCTACACACCACTCATCAAAACCCAGCGGCTAACAAAAGTATTGCTGAAAGACTGGCATTTAATTCCAGAACACCTGAAATTATGCAATCCGTTTCCCAGAGACAGAGTTCTTAGAGAAAAGAAATGTGTTCGTAGACATGATGGAGAAACTTCTACTCTGTAACCACAAGAAAGAGGAAATTGCCAACTGGCCATAAAAGACGTACAATTTGAAATCTGTGAGCAATACATCATGAATGAAACACGACCAAAAGAACCACCTCTAGTCTTCAAGATCACCTACACACCACTCATCAAAACCCAGCGGCTAACAAAAGTATTGCTGAAAGACTGGCATTTAATTCCAGAACACCTGAAATTATGCAATCCGTTTCCCAGCGAACCAATTACTGCCTATATAAGGCCAAAAATCTTGAAGGTGTACTTGTCAAATCAAGATTTATCAATAACCAGGAATTGGACTCATTACAGGGTTCACAAAAATGCAATTAGATGCACTTATGTGTATCTACATGTATGTACTCTAACATTTGACACGACTAATTTAGCCGAATATAAAATACTGGTTTTGGCGTACTACTGATGAAGCTCTGCACTATTAGAGCATGAGAGCAGAAACCAGTCTAGTTGGGTCTTAGAACCATTTCTAGTCATTTTTACTTATTAAAAGTACACTGAAATCACCATAGATGTGTTATTTTTTTTTCTTGAGAAAATGCCATGAGCTCATGATTTCTCGGGCATTCCCTAACAAATGCTAGTCTGAGTATCACCCGTTATCCACGGAGCCCAGACTCCTGTCTAACGTCTGATATATCAAAGCATGCAAATTTATGCGATCTCACGCCTCAGCCAATTGGAGTCGACTTTACTAAACGTCCTTGCATTCCCAAATCAGGACTACCGGTAAAAGTTTGATTGGTCAATTCGAATGCAGTGTTTTGTAATGCAACAACTGCCGGGCGCGTTATCGAGTAGGATGATAACAGAGTGCGTGACACAGGGCTTTTTAATCCATTGTCTATGACGCGCAACGGGTGAATGAAGGAAAACCCGATATAGAAAGTGCCCGCTGATTGGTCAAAATCTAGGAGGTCAAGAGGCAGGGTCTTGCCTAATTAATCAGCGAATCTGCTCACATATCATAGACCCATGGCATTCTCTATTACATACATGTAGACTAAACAAATGCCAGATTCATTGCCACTATGTAACGTCAGTTAGTAATACGGCCTACATGTACCTCCCCACTTCACACAATACACTGTTTAATATTTATGTGGTAGGACTGTAATAGCTAATACTTACTCATACAACAAACATAATGCTGTATAAAGTTCTAACAGTGAGGTTTTTGAAGATAAATGAGGCTTCATTAAAGTTTGATGTCAAGGAAAGTACTGGGCGTTTTTACCCCGAGACCCCTGATTTGCCCGGGGTAAAAACGCCCACTCAAATAAACATTATTAAGCACATATTAAAATAGATTTTAATATTTTAATCATTTATAATTATGTAATTAACCCTTCTTAATATATATCAACTAAAGAATAATAAAAATATAAAACACTTTTTTATATAAAATAATTTTAAGCGATATAGGCTAAACCTTCGACGGCCAGTTTTTCAAACTTTCTTTTAAATATTTTTTTCAACAGCACCTATGTACCCTTCAAATATGTTAATGAATTTAATTCTTGTTATTATTAGTTTTTATCTACAGTGTACTTATTAAAAATATATTCCATTGAATAATTCATCTTGTCATTTTTTACTAGCAGTGGAAACAAGTCAAGTGGGCGTTATTACCCCATGGGCGTTTTTACCCCAGTATACCCTATACAATTGTTGCCTGTTGTGATGGGGTCCATGGGGTGTTTTGTACACCCGAGGGTGTTCAAAACCCATGAGCTCCAATCACGGCAGGAAACAATTGTTTTGTTATACCGTGTAGTATTTAGCGGAACTACTATTTTGAAAAGATCCGTGATTACTGCACAGAGAATGTTCGCACTTTTTTTTTTTCACTGCACAGAAACACAATTTAATTTACCTTTGTACTGAATAGGAATCCATTACTCCCTGCCATGTTACGAGCCAATCACAGCTGCGACCATGTTCTATGCGCGCCTCCATCCGACATGTGCACGCACGTGTGCGCGATGTCTGAAGCCTCTTACCCGGGCTATTTCTATTATACAAGGCGATAGAAACAACACGTTCAACAGTGGGGATGATCAAGGTAATGTACCCAGTGGGGTACATCACTCATGTACCACGGGGTGTACCCTGACATGATACATTCGTGTTTGTGGCACATCACGTGCTCGATTCTGGACCAATAAAACATCACGATCTATTACCAAGGTATAACAATCTACATTGTTGTACCTTTAAGTCTTGTCAAGGACTCAATTTGAATTTTATTCACTTACATAGTACCGGTACATACATGATGTCCCAGTCTATGGCAAGAGCAATCAAGCTGCTGCAATGGTAGATCATGATCCTACATGTAAATCTTTGACAAAAAAAACCACCAAACTCTGACAGTCTTCGAGACAGGAAAAAATTGGGTCGGGATGGATGCAGCTACTCTTAGTTTTTGTGTGTGTGTGTTTGTACTTTTTTATGCAGTGCTAAAAATATGAATTGTTTTGACAAGATTTACTATATTTGCTGCAAGGCGACGTAAATGCAAACACTGACGTCTGTATGATAGACCGGAATCTGTTTGTGTTCATCGGTTCTGTACAAAGAATTATTTTGAGATGTATTCGCGTTTCGTCTCTGTAACATTTATCAAATTCCACGTTGGGATATTAATCACGGCGATTGTTGTTCCCGTGTCCGTATTTTGTCCCGTATTTGTGTGCGGATGCATAACTTCTTGTTTTGCATGCCTTGCTTTTGTGTTTGTACTTTTCAAAAAGTCTGAAACGGAGCGTAAATAGACCGTGAATGCCTCCCAGACATATTCCACATGTTCCCCAATTTAGCCTCTCTTGTTAGTTTTTTTCCAGCGTCCTTTTATCCTGACGATCTGTGTGCGTCAGATCTTTACAGAGGGAGTTGGCTGAATAGGGAGGGAGGTTGCGTGAACTTGTTGCATTGTTGCGGTCGAAATAGTCCGGTGCCGTCGACAGGTGCAGCATGTAATGCAATACAGAGGGCACTTTCAGTGTGTTCTGTATGTGTACACTATGTCACGCACGTCATCATAGATGAACCAGTGGCCTCGGGGCAGGCATATTAGACAGTGTCTTTGTCACATATTGGGACAACTGATCCGTGGGTCTCTAGGGAGCAAGATTTCAGAAGTGGTTATTGTCAGTCACGTCAGGGAGATGATCAAGGGAAATGTGTACAATCTCAGGAGAGTTGCACACTTGCGTTAATCTTGGCTATTTCTGTAGTCTGCTCGTAGTGATTGTTTAATTTGTTCAATGCAGAAGGATCTCAATGGTGCTGTTTCCCCAACCTTAATTACATTTTATAAAATGCTGCGGTGATGTTTAAAGGTTAAGTTCCAATTTAATTATTAAGTACATGCCTGCCAACCGTCCTATTTAGGGCCATTCTTTGGCCCGTATGTGACATAAAATTGGGCTCGTCTGATTTTTTAAAGCTTTACCCCTTGTTAACTTCATTTGACATATTTCTGTCTCTGATTCGTCATGTTAGAACTTATTACTCCCTCAATCAATCAATCAATCAAGCCGAGGCCCTTTGGCAGCTCGAGCCCGCCCAATGATCTCGGTCCAGATGTCCCGGTCCAGCATGCAGGAGCGCACCTCCTCAGCGGTGGTCAAGCCGGTGTCCCGTTTCAGCATGTCCACGAAGGAGAGATTTCTTCTCAAACGTGAGGCAGTGCCCCATGTGGGCTCCCAGAGAATGATCGGGCTAGCGGCTATATTACTCCCTACTTCAGGGTATAGTTTCTACTTTCACAAATTGTGTCAAAGTATTAGGGATTGCTAAATCAAAGTTTGGTAATGTGTATCACAACACACGTAAAAATGTTTATCGGGCCCATACCGGAAATTCACGCTTTACTTCAAAGTTCTAAGGACACACACCCACACTTATTTTGGAGTAAAGATTAGTCTTTGGGATTTACAGCATGCATCTAACAATGTTCACCCTCTGCTTTAGTTTTACTAAATGGCATTTTGATAGGTCAAGTGTGTGACATTTTGTAATTATGCTAATTTATGCACGGAAAAATTAACTTAATAATAATAATAATAATAGTAATAATGGCATCTTGTATAGCGCTCATGTCCATCACAAAGTGACACTCGTGGCGCTCTTATTATTACCCTGGCTTTAGCACGGCTGCCATTACTTCCTACCAGGTACCCATTTACTACACCTGGGTGGAGAGAGGCAATCGTAGTAAAGTGCCTTGCCCAAGCGCACAAGCACCATGTTCCCCGTCAGGATTCAAACCCACGTACCACGGCACATGAGTCGAACACTGTAACCACTGGACCACAGCACCCCACTTGTCAAACATCTTAAGAAAATTGCATCTTTACTTGCTACCGGTAGCAACACTTTAGTGAACATAAATCATATTTGAGTCCCTATTGCATCACATAAAAAACTTTTTTTCAATCATCTTTGCTATTAGGCACTACAGCATCCACTAGGAATTGTTCGTATGTCAGTGGAGGTTTTTTTAAATTGGGTACTTTATTTCAAATAAATTTCTAGTTTCATCTCAAAACACAGAGGTTTTTTTTTCAATTGCTGTTTTCATATAGCAAAGTAAAAATTTAAATGAGAGATCAAACACAAAAATCCACCAACAGTTACCGGTAGTTAGTTTGAATTATTGGCTACCAGACAATTTTTGGGCTCTCTTTTGTGCGCTAATGAATAGAAAGCCATTTTTATAGAGGGTTACAGATGCCAATATTCGGCATAAAATAGTTTTTTTTTTAGTTAAACAAAATATTTTTAAAAAGTATGTTGCGAGAAAAAAAATTATCTTTTTTGAAGACTGCATTCAAAGAAATGTAAGTCAAAATCCCACACCTTATATTTTTTATACATGTAATGAATTGGAATTTATGAATATATTGACAAGACATCATTTTTCGTCTTTCAGCGTTAAGTGCGTTATTTTGGTCCTTTTTGCTGAACCTCACATGAGCCTTGCATCAATGACAGGGTTGTGTAGTCATCCCTGAGGGAAGCATCCATTATTAACCCCCGGTTGAGGGATTGTATTTTCAGGTAATAAATTATAAGCCCATTCAGACGCCAGTACGTAGGAAGACCAAAATCATGATCCTATCCAGGGGTTCCCGTTATGCACCTGCTGTATTCATAATTGATTGGACGGGAGAAAAACCTCTCACACCTTAGGCACAGTCAGATAAAAAACTATGAAATATTTACCTGTGTTCCGCCTACAGAGTCCAGGCAGCCAAAAGACTGTTCACCTGCAGGTCTTTGAATAGGTATAGCCCCCCCCCCCCCCCGAAGACCCTGAATATTTGATTTTTATTGAATAATGCGCCGATCTTAACTTTATCCCGGTAGGAGTTGAAGCGACAGGCGTATCTACCGCAGCGCGACGCTAGTGGTCCGATGCTGTACGCCGTGGATCACTGCTTCTCAATACGGGGTCAGGGAACTGTCATGACCGGTACCATGCTAAGCGGCAAAGTCGTCGTCAATGACGTAAGTGTGTCAGCGCGAGCTGACCAATTGAAGTTGAGTGATTTGTAGGGCTTTGGGGATCATGGGGGGAAAGAAAGAGAGGAATGACATGAATGACTTGCGGTAATTGGCATGAAACATTTATTTCATGATTGCCGAGTCAGTGACGTCAATTAAAACATCTGGAACGTGATTTTTTACAAAGATAATATGAGAGTTACATAAAACTGAAGTTGAAATGCTTCTGATCAAAGTATTATTATGAATTATCACTATTTCGGGTAATGAAGCCAAGGATTCCTCCAAAGTGCCCTAGGCCCTGTAGCTCGCAAGCCTGAAGAAACCTGTAGAGAGAAGACAATGAGAAGAAGTTACAGTTTTAGAGGTGGGAGGAAAAGCCCAGAAGAATATTCTGGAGAAAACTGTGCACATAATTGGACAGGGACTGAAAACCCAATCCACATATTGGCCCAGGCAGGAATCGAACCCGGGTCACAGTGGTGGAAGGCGAGAAAAGAACCGCTATGCCAACTTGACTTATGAGTCAAGCATCACAATGTTATACCCCAATCATTGAGGGATTTTATCTATTAGAGGCATTGGATTCTTCAGAAAGATGAGTACTGTTCAGTGGACGACATCTGACACTTTAGGTGGGCGCGGACATCAAGGATTTTTTTTAATTGGCTTATCTAGCTCCCAGACCTATGTTCTTGAAAATCATTGGTTCTTGAGTCTGGAGTGCTGAATGATAACACATAGCAACTGATGAAAACGTTATGTGTAAATGAATAGATGTTTTCATCAGATGACATCAGCCTGACCCCATCTTTTGGAAACAAGGTTATGCAATTCTTGCAGTATATTTGCATGTGGATGGTCAAAATGAGAATTATATAGTCTTGGTCCCGGACTGGATTTAGATTTTGTTCCCCTTTTGCAGCTGCTGCCAATTCATTATTAAAGATGAATTGGATCCAATCTTTGGAACCTGGAATTCAGAAATTCTGAGCAAAGTTCACGCATTAAACAAATGTTATAGCTTATACGGCTGCCTACCACTTTTAGTGCATTATAGCTTGAGTGAGTACACATTATAGCTTTAGTACAGCGCACTTTAGGTATGCTCAGAAATGCTGGGGTCAAGTGCCAAAGTTCCTAAAGCTCGATTTGGTTTAATCTTGATTTGGTTTAAGAGGCTTGTGGTGGCTTTGGGGGAACAAAGCCTTGGACCAAGTCTAGACTTTATGGATCTCACTGAAGCAAAAGTTCCGTCAGAAACAATTTTTCTTTCATACCCATACATATATTGATCCCATCGCAGACTGTTGAGATCCCTGCTCTCAAGATCACACGCAAAGTGAAATCAATGCAGATGTTCAGACAACCCGTCCAGTCAGCTAGCCAGGGGGATCGCGTCGGGGTGTGTGTCACCCAGTTTGACCCCAAGCAGCTGGAGAGGGGATTGGTGTGCACACCCTCAACTCTGCCGACAGTTTGTGGTGAGGAAATGAACACCGTAATTGATCACAAATAAAAAATTGTCCCGTGTTTTATTTGTGTTTATAGTAGACTTGATATATTGTAATGACATTTTGTGCATCATTTTGGAATCTAGGGGTAATGTTTTTTGTTTGTGGGGGTGCGGAGAGGGTTAGAGAATTTTAAGTAATCCCTTTAAAAGCAAAGCAAAACAATGGTACTTTGTAAATAAAGCAAGAACATAACAACAACAAAAAACAAAGAAAAAAACTTTCATAGACGTAGCTTTAAAAGGCAGTGGCAGATCCAGAGGGTGCGGAGGGGGCGCCCGTCCCCCTGGCAGTGACCAAAATGTTCTCAAAAATGGCCATTTTTCACTTGAGAGAGGAGCCCCCCCCTCCTGCAGTAAGCTCTCTGGACCCCCCCCCCCCCTTGTAAGGTCCCGCAAAATTTGCTTTTCTTTCAGTAAACAAAATTTCCTAAGAATTTAGGGAAAAATTCACCAAACTGTACAGAACAATGACCTTCAAAATATCCTTACTTTTTTTAAAAAACTTTCCAATCACTACTCCATGTTATTTAGCTACCCAAACTGTTTTGTCTAGAGCTGGCTCTGGAGAAGATTTTTCCTCAAAATCAGTTTTGTAACGGTCAGGAATATAAAGTAGATTTAGTTCATCCACTCATCCAATTTCATCTTGAAAATCCTACTTTTTTGGTTTCTTCTAATACTAGCTGGTATCATATCTGTGAAAAAGATTCCGTACTTCAAAGGAACGTGCTCTACAAAAGCTAAATTTCACGGTAAGATAAACAATACCAGAAAGTTATGTATTTTTGGGTTTTGATTTCTTTATATTGCAGATACTCATGAAATGTCTGCACATTGTTTTTTCTGTTTCTTTTGTATATTTAACTTTCTCTTAATTGTTTAAGATTAACAGGACCATTTTCTTTAACCCTAACGGCCCTGAATCCTTCAAACTCCTCTTTGCCAAAGTGGAGGAATTTGGAGGATTGAGGTTGCATGGCAAAAGCGCGTTACTGATTTTGTAGGATGCACTTTGTCAAGGTCTTGGGCCAGGCCTTGTTTTGTTTTTGCTCAGCCATGCATAAATATAGGCCTGCATGGATTATGCTTGAAATCCTCCAGTACTGCTCCAGGATGTCACTGGCCAAGCCTCAACATATTGACAGTCACTGCCGCAGAATTTTGCAGGATTCAGGCAGTGGTCACCCCTCCACAGACCTTATTCAAGAAATAATGGAGGAATTTGCAGGATTGAGGCTATATGAGGCCAATTGGAGGATTTTGCAGGATTGGGGCTACATCCTAGCAAAAAGGCCTAGGGAGTTAGGGTTAAAGTTGGTGTATGTAGCACCTTGAAAAACTAGTTTTTCAAATTGAATTAATAATTTTCTAGCTTTCCAATGAGACATCGCACGAAAAAATCCGCACATGACAAGTAAACAAATAGTCACTTTCAATTTTTGCATTATTGAGCGGGACGCTTCTAATTCGTTCTGAATGGTGTACGTAATTTCTGAACTGGAGTACACCATTTAAAATCATTTTTTAAAACTGTATAAAGGCCTGCAAAAATGAACAAACAAATTTATTTGTTTGAAAGACATTATTCCTATAAATTTCGTTCGGAAAAGAAAATCGAAATTTTGAAAACGCACATATACCAACTTCTCGTTTCCTGCCGACCCTATTTTGGGCTTCCGACCCCGCCCCCCCCCCCCCCCCCCCCCCCCCCCCCCCCTTTAAAAAAAACACCACTTTTTTTTTTATTACCGGCGACCCTGTGTGGACCCCCCAAAACTAATTATTAAAAAAATAAATAACATCAAATTATCAGGCTTTGTGTTATTTGAAAAGCTATGAAAAATAATATTTCATTTCACTTGATGCACGACATATATAGCAACCAATGTTATCCCAAAATATGGAAGGGTGTTGCCTCTCATCATATCAGGGGGTCTGTAGTTTACCTTTGCTGTTTATATGTCATGGCTGCTTCCACAGCCAAACCATTAGTGAGATGCGTTGTGCAGAGATAATGCACATGTAAGTCAACTACATCTTGCAAAGATTGTGTTCAGTGAATATCATTGCAGTAAACAAAACTACCAAGTTATTATGATATTCCTTACTTGAGTAAAGTGAATAATATAGTCTCAAGCATCCTGTGAAATAATGGCACCTGGTTTGCTGTTATTTTCAAGAAAAGTGTTATTTTGTATCAATTTCTAACAATGGTCAGCCTACCATCGTTGGAAACAAACTGACTTTTTTTTCAAATATTGTCTCCAGTTTATCCAATTAAGTCCATGTTTTGTTTGCAATCGGTTACGCATCTGTGAACGGGTGTAAGCCAGCTTGTCTGGTTCCCTGACCTGACAATTCCCTGATGTCTATAAATTGCTCTGTTTCGTCTGAATCAGGGTCAGGGAACCAGACTACAAGAACAGCATTTTTATTTTTGGTTTTGTAGCATCTATGAACACAATACATTAAACAGGTCAGTGTAACAATATTTGCTGTAAAATACTTTTTTTTCACAAATATAACATGGTTTTTTTTACAAATAAAACATCTGAGCTTCTTTTTCATCAAGAAATGAAATCACAATCAATTCTCATTTCTTTACCTACACATATTACTTCGTTTAAATATTTTAACGGACCGACTCTCCAAATTGATGTTGCAATTTAGGAAACGTTGCTTTCAGAAGCACGTACCCATTCCGTTGAACTTGTCCGATCGTTTATCATCCCTACCCCTTTTGCACCTGGTCCCCCTATCTTCAGACGCCGTTCCTTTCTAATTTTTTCTTGACGAATTACGAGTACATTGACTTCCTGTAAGTCTAGACTCGCTCGCAGGCAGGATTACAGAGAGAGCTGATTTTTATCTGTGGGAACGCGGCGACAAAAATATTGACATTGTATATCCTATCCTTAGGAGGAAAAGGATTGGTTAACGACGACAAGGTGTTTGTGTTGGGGTTCTTGTTTCTTAACAAGGTGAAAAAAAAATAAATGCTTGTAATCTTGTTAGCTGAGGGCCAGGACGTTGAAACTCTTTAAGGAACATTAAAAGAAACAAACAAGTGAAGTGATGATTCTCGTTTGCATGTGCACCATCATCAGGAGGAATGGAACTTGGCAAGTGGGCGATAGAAAAGTGAATGCGTGCATTAACAGATTAAAAAAAACAAATTTGGCTCTTATACCGGTAGTACTTTATAAAGAAAGTGCTTCAAGAAGTGCTTTCTTAATATAAGACTGAAATTGAGGATTTGAAATTGTGACCTGGGACAATGGCTTTTCTGTGAAAACAGTAACCCAGAGGACCTGAGCCAATTAAAGCCTCTGAGGTTTTTGTGAACAAACCTTTATTATGGGACATATTGAAAAATAGTTCAAAGTCCAAACAAAATGAGCAAAAAAAGGAACCAATAATAAGGGGTTCTCATATTAAATACATGTATACTGAAATTTGCATCCTTGTGGAGACATGTTCTCGTGTAGTAAAGTTTTCTAATTTGAAAGTGAAGTTTCAAAATGCTCTAATGTTAACCAGAATTAATTTCCTTGGCTGAAATTTGGACTTAATATCCCTTTTCTAAAACTCTACCATTTGCGACAGATCAACATACCTAGGAAATTCCTAGTTTTTGAGTAAAATCCATATCTATTCCGTGAAAACCTTGTTTATCTATAGAAATTGCCCTGTGGAGACGTATACAATCCCTATTGTGTGCATGTCTTCAGAGGGCACGGTGTATCAGATCATGTAAAACATGCGTGGGTGTGTGTGTGCTTGTACAATAGCGTTTGCTTATGGTGTCCGCACACATGAATCAAGGACAGGAGCCAATTCGAGGACAACCTCGATTAGAATATGTTTACAAAACCAATGAGAGCTGTTCCGAAAAAGTACAAAGTACAAAGGGAAGAGGAACAAAAGAAAATCCTCGATTTACACCAAAGACAAACGTCACTGTACATGTAGGTATAATTGAGGATGCTCATGAGAAATCCCATTGCCATGATGTCCTCAGTTGGAAAACGTGTATTATAAAGCCAATTGGAAATCAGGACCACTTGGTTTGATTGGTCAATTCGAATGCAGTGTTTTGTAATACAACAACAGCCGGGCGCATATCGCGTTACATGATACAGAGCGCGTGACACAGTTTTTTGTATCCATTGTCTGTGACACACAATGGGTGAAAGACCCGATATAGAAAGCGCGCCCGCTGATTGGTCAAAATCTAGGGGTCAAGAGGCGGTTGTCTTGCCTAATTAATTAGCCAATGTGCTCACATATCATAGACCACAGTGATTACATGTACATAGACTACTGCAGGGCCGGATCCAGGAATTTTCGCAGGGGGGTGGTCTTCATCAGCAAATAAAATGTGAAAATGTACACAGGTTTTTTTTCTACGGACACTTGGCCTCCGTAAAATCAAAAAAATGGGGGAGGGGGCCGCTGGTACCATATTTCAATAGGGGGCGCTGTTCAAATTCGACGATTATTAACACTAGATGACAGAATGGTGTACCGTATTTTGAACAGGCGGATATTATACCACTATAATTTTATTTTGGGTGTCACAGCAGGGGGGGGGGGGGTTCGCATTATTCTTTAGGAATTTATATGATCTTTTTTTGTTGTTGACAGAGCTGGGGGGGGGTTGACACCCCAAAACACCCCCCCCCCCTTGATCCGCGCCTGTACTGGGGGGTGTGGGTTTGTTGCCACAATTCTTGAAGTCCCTAAGCTTTTGCTTCTTACAGCACCCCCACTTACTAATAAAGAGGAACACCCAAGGCCAGTAATAAAATGAAGTTGTGTTACTGAGCCAGCAGGCTTTTTTTCCATTGATATACACATGTGCGTTCATGATACGTATATAATACAGCACTCATGTTAGCCATGTCTCCAGACTCTCAAATCAGGCATAATCAGCAAAGACATTCGGATTGCATGGTTGAAAGCAATTGTCATATTTGATGCCTTGTTTCTCCCCCTGATTTGAAGCTCTTACATTGCTAGACATAGCATACCTGTGGATGTACATGTTAGAGTTCAATTAGTAGGCCCACTCAAAACCGAGTATTATAGGCGACGTACATCGTCACCTCTCTCTAATACTGCAATGACAAAAAAAATAATTATGAAGATTGACATTGAGATTCACACTGATTCCTCTAGAGGGAATATACAGGGCGTCCTGAAAAAAATGGTGCAATTGTAAACCCCTCCATTTTTGCTTATTTACAACCAAAATTTTCTGCAGATGTTTACACCATCTTCGAGGTAATAGATTTAGCTTGAGAATACCGTTTATTTCATTGAGATTGCTGTTGTAAATCCAAAGATATGTTTGAATAACGGCAAAGCCAAGAAACCCATTTTGTGCCACTTTCCGTGAACAGTTAAAATCAGTACAGTCCTAGTCTAAAACCAAATCACTTTACTGTTAGTGATTTTAACATTTTTAAGCAGAGTGTGCAATATTTATTTATATTTAATTGAACTCTTTCATTGAAGTTTTAAAGAAGTGAGCCTGTCTGTACTATTAAAGGGGGGGGGGTGTTAAACATTTTATCGCAAATATTGTTAAACCTACTTGTTTGAAGTTGTGCGTTCGTAGATGCTGGGGAAAAAAACAAGAGAAACAATCATATTCCTGTAGTCTGGTTCCCTGACCCCACTTAAGATGAAACGGAGCAATTTTATAGATGTCTGGGAATTGTAAAGTCAGGGAACCAGTCTATCTGGC